TTTTTTTTTAATTTTTTAATTAAAAATACTATTTTTGTATGAAAAACGCACGGTTCTATAAATTGATTTATTAATTTAAAATATTTTCAAGATTTTTAATTATTGAAAGGAAAAAAATGCGAGAATAAAAGTGTAGAAATTATATTTTAGGGAGAAAATAGATCTTTTTGAAGAAATTCTTATTGTTTTACTCGAATTTTTGTTGTTTTTTTTTTTATTTTACTCTGCCCCAAGGGATTTCCTTTAAAAACACTCGATCTGTCAAAATGTCGAAAAGTAAATTTCCTGAATAAGAAAAATAAATAAAAAAAGGAAAATATACAGGAAATGCGACCTTTACCATATTGCACATCATACATTTTTCTGTATAATCTTAGTCAAACTAGTTATGTCGCGTCGCTTCGATGTATACTCCAACACTAAAAAAAAATATTACTTTTTATCTTCTGCAAAAATATATACAAATTTATATTTAAAATGTAAAATTAATTAAACGAAATGTTTTAAATACAAAAAACAATACAATAAACAGAAAATAGGCAAATAATATAGAAAATTTAATACAGGCGCAACGCCACGCGATGCGACCGAACGCGAAGCGATGTGCATTAATTAATATCACAAATGTACTGTACAGTACATCTCTGTATTACATTTTAACATTAATTAATTAATTATTAAAAGATTAATTTTTTATTATTTACGAGTGTATTTCAACGATTTTTATATACTAATCTATTATTATTTAATAAAACTTTGATTTGTTTATTTATTTATCATAAAAATAATTATATTAGCTTCAAGTTATTTAATTCCATTAAGGAATGACAAACTTTCGATAGTATGAACGATTTTTTTTATTTTTATACAATGTGATCTTATTGATATAAACTTCCGCATTAGAAAAAAATGACTAAGAATGAAACAATATAGAACAATCAGATTAAAATCAGGGAAGTTGTCACATATCTGATGGCATTAATGAGACATTTAATAGACAAATTTGGAAGATTTTGACGTATCTGTTTACAAATTTTACATCGAATCTTTCAAACAAGTTGCAAAAACAGCAAAAGAAAAGCTGACATGAAAGAAAGACGAACAAATTATATTCCCAAACGGCATTTTCCTCATACATCCTCATTGTTATGCGTTACTTAAAAGAAATGCTTCCTTATTAAATAAGATGTAAAAAATAAATAAAACTAGAATCAAATTTATAAAATACTCATCAATATTAACCTATGGAATACTACAATTTTTAATTGTATTTAATATTTAATTATGTTTTATGTTGTCAAACTTGAACTTTCCTCCTCTTCCTCCTCCTCCTCCTCCTCCTGAGAATGATTTAGTTAAGTTGTTTCTTGTTCATTTCGGCGTACATATGGGCTTAACTTTATGAGATTTTAAGTTAAATATGATTTTAAAGTAGTTTAAACAACTAAGAGTTAAATTTTTCTTAGGAAAGTTAATAAAAGGATGCTAAAAATATATACAATATTTGGGTTTCTTGCTTGGATGAGTATATTTAATAAGAGGAGATCGATATGCGAAAAGTAATATAAATTAAATTAAATATAATATAATTCGTAAAAATTTTTAAAATAATTTATTTTCATGTTACACTTAATTTATCCAGGTTATAAAGGAAATTCGTAACTTTTGACCCGATTTTTGCAAGTTAAAAAGCACTTCCTTGTTTTCTGTTCGACTTTCTCGTCTCGAAAANTTAAATCTTTGCTATTACTTTTAATAAAAAATAGTTTAAAAATTCTTTAACAAATAACACTATAAATTAAAGATTGTTTCAATAACTAAGCCATAAATTTCCATGGATTTTTATTGTTTAGATTAAAAAATGAATTTTTATTATAGATAAAAAGCACAGAATGGAACCTTAACAAGTAATTTATTAACTTATTGACTCATGTTACTTCCTCGAAAATGAAGGAAGAAGATCCTGAACATAGACCTAATAAACTGATCTTAAGTAATAAAAATTCATTTTTTAACTTTAACGTTGTTTAAAGTATTATTTTATTTAACTAGTGGATACAGTCAACAGACTTAGATCTCTTTCAACGTGAAAGTATTGTCATAGTTAACATACAGAAATTTATTTTATTTAATTTTTAAAATAATTTATTTTCATGTTACACTTAATTTATCCAGGTTATAAAGGAAATTCGTAACTTTTGACCCGATTTTTGCAAGTTAAAAAGCACTTCCTTGTTTTCTGTTCGACTTTCTCGTCTCGAAAAAATTTAAGTTTTACACATTTGTCACATGAGAAACTTTGCCCTTTTTTTTGATATTTAACCTTATTAATATTTCATAAAATTCTGAAGTTTTAAAGGATATAAATTATGCAAAAGATTTTACGAGAAATTCCCATCTTAAAAATAAATCTTGAGTATAGTAATCTGGAAGTTCGCTTGCAAATTTTAGATATTTATTACCAAAAAATACAATTAAAGTATTTTATATCATCTTTTATATTGATTTTCTTCGAATTTTATAGAATTTTTAAAGATATTTAGCGCAGATGTGTGGGATTTCGTTTCCGATAACCTTCAATAATCGCCTAACATGGAAAAGGAGGAAATATAAAATCTTCAGTTTTTCTCTAGTAAAAAAATTTAGGTTTCTACTAACAATTTTTATGTATTTAAATGGTGTTAATGTAAATTTTTACTTTAATATATCGTTGTTTAGAGGTATTTTATTTTAAAGAGTGTTTTTATATTCATGAAAAAAGTTTCTTCATCATTCAGTTTTTATTAATAAGTCTTTTGAAACTTAAATTTTTAAACTAATATTTACACTTTAAAGTTTTTAAAATAGTTTTAAATTTTATATAATTTCATCATACATAAATTAATTTAAAGTAAAAGCTTGTAATTTCATTTTAGAAAATTCTTTTAAAGTAAGATTTTATAAAATTAAAATAAAAAGTTTAGTGAAGGTTAGTAAAACATTATAAACTTTTTACTGGTGAAAAGTGGGAATGATTTTATATTCAAATTTTTTGACTTTTATGCAAAAGTTTCAAGTAGTAAAATGTTTAAATTTGATAAAATAAGAAAAAAAAATCGAACGTCCTTTTAGGTTTTTAGCTGACCTTACCGTATAAACGGTAGTTAATAGTTGAATGTGTTTGAGAATGGGAGGAGTTGCTTTTGAGGTCAATGGCAGAGTAACGTGCAAGTGACGACATCACAGAGACACCCGGAAAACAGATCAGAACAGCAATGATTGCCATGAGGAGTTGCAGCGGTTTTCCCGACTTAAAGTCGGGAAGTATCGTTGTTTGTCACTATGCTATGGTAAGTTATCTTTATATATTAATTAAACGTTAAATTTTCGTTAAAATAGACTAAAATTTAGAAGAAATTTAACTCTAAAATTACTTAAATCACACTCAAGTTAAGACAGTTCAGAGTTGAAACCACAGTTCTTCCACGATAAAGTATGTTAAAGTGTGTTGAATTCTCGTTGGTTTTAATAGTTAGAAAGCTTTTTATGCTGAAATAAGTTCTAGTTAATGTTATTTTTAGTTAAAATTTTCATCTCAATTAGGTTTAGGTCATTAGAAAAATAAGTTTTTAATGTGTTTAAAAATAGTTTAATGTTTGGTTGCTTCTTTCGTTTCTTGTCGTTGTTATTATTTTTTTAAATAAAATGACAAAAATTGGATTTTCAAAATTAATTTTCTTTTATTTTTAAAATTAATTTACGTATTTATTAAATATTTTTTTTTTTGTATCAGAACNGTTAAAACCGATAAGCGCGCGATCGCGTCGCGTCGCACATGTTTATGATTCTACCAAGTGAAGTTGATTCTGTTAACAATTACTTGCGCCAAGTTATTTGATACGCCTAATTTTTATATTAATTTTTTTTTAGGGATTATCCTTTCTGGCTTTAATACTTCTAGCGGGTCGTTTACACGAAGTTGACCGAGAAGTTAGTTTTCTGCAATTAGTTTTAGGGAATTGGCTACCAAACGATACAATTACAGCGTCGAAAACAAGAGGAACAGCTCAAACTGGACAAGGAAACAACGTCAAAAGCAATACGAATCAGCTGACAGCGTCTCAAAAGCAGCATTTCAATCACCTAAAGAACGATATCAAACATTTTATAAGTAAGTTTTTTTTTGTTTTTTTTTTGTCTTTTATGTAGTTATGACCATTAATGACGCCTAATATGACGCATACCTACATCCACTTTTTCCATTATCCTATTGGTGTTATCACTTCCTGGTTTTAGATATGCCCGGAAGGAAGAATGGAAGTGATGTAGTCTTTAAGTTGTAGATCGTGTCTATTCTAACTTTTTATTTTTATTTTTTTTATTTTTATAATAAAAACATGTTAATTTTCTTATAAAATTTGCTTCTTTTAAATTCAAAATTCTGGTAAATCTTGCTGCTGATGATTCACCCTTCTTGTTATAACCGTTATAAAAACAATTGAACCGTCTTTAAAAAATAGTATTATAAACTATTTGTAGTCTATATATAATAATTTTATAATGTTATTTTCTACTAAAAATAACTTTTTCGCATGGATTATTTTAATTAAATTGTGGTAAATTCTGATATTAATATAAGTAAGGGTCAACCGTTCACCGGAACCGGTTTTGATGCATTTGGCGTCTGTGCATCCGGCATGTCTGTTATATAATAGTATGATATATATTTTTTGGTAATGAAAATACATTGCTATAGCTGTAAATTCATATTAAAGTAGCGTATAATCGAGTTGTCTGTTGTGCTTCAGATCCGGGATCGCGGGTTGACTAACGTTAATGCTATTAGAATTTCAAGAGATATTATTTATAGTTGTGAATTTTCACGACTTTAACCTGTTATAAACATAATAATGATCTGATATATATCAAAATATGAACAATAAAACGTGTATGATTCCTTCAAAGAGCTATGCTCTATCGGAAAATCTTCATGCTAGACTTGACTTCATAACTTTAAAATGCTTTAAAAAATGTAACCCAGAATTATATAATAGGCCTAGTTATTTTATATAAAAATAAATATTTTTCTATATATTTTAAAAATGAATAATCTGTGATTTAATTTTTTTTAGTGGAATTATCTTCAGCTAGAACAACATTAGTTTTGAGTGTTGTATTTGTAGTCATATACATATTTAGTTGGTGGTGGATGGCATTTGCTATTAAACAGGTTCGAGAAGGGGTTTGTATATTTTACGGTCTTATAAAATTATTGTTACTATGAAAATTATATAATTATTTGATATTTTGTAATAGGGTAACGTTTCTTTAAGAACTGTGCTCTTACTATCCGTTTTTGCTGCCGTAGATATTGCTGCCAATATATATAAAGAAGTATTATTTCTGCTCTAAATACGTTTTCACATTCTCAATTTTAAATGATAATTTTAGGTTTTTTTAATGCAATTTGGCTGAAATTATAGGAAAAAAAACTTTCGTATAAGTATATTTTTTATATATTTTATATGTAATTTTTTATATGAGAATAAGTTTATTCATCTCTGCAATAATTTAAAATTTAAACGACAAAAAAAGCTTGAATTTATAATTAAAACGTTTCATTGTTACAGTCTGTATTATGACCTCATAACTTTATTCACATACAACAATTTGTTTAAATTAAAAAAAATATTGGTCATTTAGTTTTAAGCATTGTGATAAAACAATAGCCGTGTGAATGGCGCGTCTCGTGTCGCGACGCGACGCGACGCGTGCAATATATCTCATAGTTTTATCCATTTCAGTTCTTCTGTTTAAAAAAAAAATGCGTTAAAAATTATTTTACGAGTTTTTATACTTTTAACAAAAAATGCAAAGTTGACAAATTTTTAGTATGAAAGGTTTATAGCTCAATACTCGTCACACGAGGAACGACGCATTGCTGCGAAGCGATACGTTTCCCATGCGACAGTATACAACTCACTGCGGAATGTCAAAAATACAACTTATTTTCACTTAATATATTTTTATTATTCTTTATCTATAAGAAAGAATTGTATGGATGAGAGAATATATTCTAAAAATACGACGAACAAGTTTAAATAAATAAATAAAAACAGCTGACCTGTATTAAATTTTATTTGAAAAATTCTCTAATTAGTTTCTGTAAAACATGTAAATATTTTATTGTCATCATCTATCAATCAATAATTGTTTAAAGCGTTATCTATAAGTTGTTAAAACCGATAAGCTCGCGATCGCGTCGCGTCGCACATGTTTATGATTCTACCAAGTGAAGTTGATTCTGTTAACAATTACTTGCGCCAAGTTATTTGATACGCCTAATTTTTATATTAATTTTTTTTTTAGGGATTATCCTTTCTGGCTTTAATACTTCTAGCGGGTCGTTTACACGAAGTTGACCGAGAAGTTAGTTTTCTGCAATTAGTTTTAGGGAATTGGCTACCAAACGATACAATTACAGCGTCGAAAACAAGAGGAACAGCTCAAACTGGACAAGGAAACAACGTCAAAAGCAATACGAATCAGCTGACAGCGTCTCAAAAGCAGCATTTCAATCACCTAAAGAACGATATCAAACATTTTATAAGTAAGTTTTTTTTTTTTTTTTGTCTTTTATGTAGTTATGACCATTAATGACGCCTAATATGACGCATACCTACATCCACTTTTTCCATTATCCTATTGGTGTTATCACTTCCTGGTTTTAGATATGCCCGGAAGGAAGAATGGAAGTGATGTAGTCTTTAAGTTGTAGATCGTGTCTATTCTAACTTTTTATTTTTATTTTTTTTATTTTTATAATAAAAACATGTTAATTTTCTTATAAAATTTGCTTCTTTTAAATTCAAAATTCTGGTAAATCTTGCTGCTGATGATTCACCCTTCTTGTTATAACCGTTATAAAAACAATTGAACCGTCTTTAAAAAATAGTATTATAAACTATTTGTAGTCTATATATAATAATTTTATAATGTTATTTTCTACTAAAAATAACTTTTTCGCATGGATTATTTTAATTAAATTGTGGTAAATTCTGATATTAATATAAGTAAGGGTCAACCGTTCACCGGAACCGGTTTTGATGCATTTGGCGTCTGTGCATCCGGCATGTCTGTTATATAATAGTTTGATATATATTTTTTGGTAATGAAAATACATTGCTATAGCTGTAAATTCATATTAAAGTAGCGTATAATCGAGTTGTCTGTTGTGCTTCAGATCCGGGATCGCGGGTTGACTAACGTTAATGCTATTAGAATTTCAAGAGATATTATTTATAGTTGTGAATTTTCACGACTTTAACCTGTTATAAACATAATAATGATCTGATATATATCAAAATATGAACAATAAAACGTGTATGATTCCTTCAAAGAGCTATGCTCTATCGGAAAATCTTCATGCTAGACTTGACTTCATAACTTTAAAATGCTTTAAAAAATGTAACCCAGAATTATATAATAGGCCTAGTTATTTTATATAAAAATAAATATTTTTCTATATATTTTAAAAATGAATAATCTGTGATTTAATTTTTTTTAGTGGAATTATCTTCAGCTAGAACAACATTAGTTTTGAGTGTTGTATTTGTAGTCATATACATATTTAGTTGGTGGTGGATGGCATTTGCTATTAAACAGGTTCGAGAAGGGGTTTGTATATTTTACGGTCTTATAAAATTATTGTTACTATGAAAATTATATAATTATTTGATATTTTGTAATAGGGTAACGTTTCTTTAAGAACTGTGCTCTTACTATCCGTTTTTGCTGCCGTAGATATTGCTGCCAGTGCTGGATTTATCTTGTTAAGGATTATTATGGTATTTATAATATTAAATTTACCATAAATTATTTTATTTTTTAATAAATAATTTTAAAATTTATTATTATTATATATTTTTTAATCTTTAGTATATTAAAAGAGATAGGTTATATCCAAGTGATATGAGGTCTCCCAATGCTATTTTAGAACACGATCAACTTGCTGCATATGCAGCTTTAAGATTAGTTACTTTACAGGTATTTTAAAGTAAATTTTTGTTTATCTGATTATCTGTACACCTTACAAACGTGTATTTTATATTACAGTCAAGTTGTGCGAGCACTGATGTTCTTGTAACTATTGTTGTTGGTTTCTTAACTGTTCTCAGGGTAAGCTCATCAGGATAACTTGTTAACAACTGTCTAAATTAATGGTTTTGATGTCTGTTTAATGCCAAGATTAAATAATTTACAGGTTTACAGCGTAATGTGTGTCGTTTCTTACTACAAGAAGGCGAAAAATGGAGATAGAGACTTATTCCAAAAAGGTAATAGAGTTTTCTCGTTAAGAAGTTCTGTACTATTTTAAATATTTAACAAAATTTAATTAAATTTTTAGAAGTAACGGGAGGTTCAGAAGCTACAGAAAGGACAGGAAGTGAATCTATTAAAGATATGGATGAATATATCCCTAGACCATTACTAATCGATTAGTAAGTATTGATTATTTATTTCAAGGAAATTTTTAAATATTTAGAAAAATTCTGTCGATTTTCAATTTAAATGAAGTGACGTCTCAAATACTACAGAGAATTAAGAGGGTCATTTCCTCATAGTTTATTTAATTTAGACATTTAAATAACAGGAAATCATTTCATATAGCATAAAGTGTTTACTTAACTTCAAAATAAACTGGTTTGTAAAGACTTAACTGTTTCTTGTGTTAAACTTTAATATCATTTTAAATTTAAATAAAAGAGTTATATTCTTAACTATTTAGTTAAGAATATAACTCTTTTAATGCCGATTTAAAAATATACACTTAACAGTAATTGGTTGTAGATATAGAAATTGAAATAACCAATCATAGTTTTTATTGTATCTTACTTCTATTACAAAGAACCGCTTATATTTAAACTTTCTCTTATTCGATTTAATTATCTTTTAAGTTTCTAAGTTATTTACAATTTTATCATTCAAATAACTTAAAAATTATATTTTTTTTCTAGCAACTCTAAGAAGCATCACAGCTACAGCGGTCATCGAGGTCCGAGATCAAACACGAGTGCTACAGCATCAACAGACGGAGATGCATTAAGAGATTTAAAAATTCAAGCATCCGATATGTCCGTAGACATGCAGAAAGCTGCAGTTGCAAGCGCTACTCAAGCAATAAAATTATATACTGCTGAAAAACATATTGCGGAAAGTATCAAGCAAGATTTCGATCAGATGTATCATCCTACTTGGCACTGCATCGTCGGAAGAAATTGGGGAAGTTGCGTCACACATTCTAAACAGTGCTACGTACGTTTAGCATATAAAGATATGACCATTATGTTGTATAGATCAACATGAATCGATTCCAACGTTAATTTATTAAATGACTAAATATTACAGCCATCTATTTATTAAGTTAATATTTTAAAATTGGTAAATTATAATTTTAAAACACAATTTTATATAAGCTACAGATGAAAAATGCCGCTTTTTTAAACAGAGTTAATAACTTTTAAACAAGATGAAAGAACAACTTTGCTGAAGTGTTACAAGTAGCAGCAAGGTCAAGAATCTCAAACAGAGTCAAAGTACGACTTTTAATTGTTTATTTTTTTATTATAGTTAAATCTTGAATGCGATTTTAAGATTTAGAAAACCAGATCGGCAGCCTTTTAATCTTTCAATAAAACTGCAATTTTTCTATATTCAAAACTCGTTTCTTTTATGGAGAATGCGACGATTGACATGAGGCTCTTATATATATTTATACATCATGTTGAGTTTTACAGCATGAAACGAGGAAATATGGTTAAATAAGCAAAACACGTCGATATAAATGAGTTTTCCGTGATCGAAGATCGGTAGTTAAGAGTTTTGTAACAGTAAATATATCGATATATATTTGTATAATGAAATATAATAATGAATTATTTGTAAATAGGAATATAATATATAAATAATAAATAATTTTTTGATAATTCTTGTTTTTATTTGTTGACAACTGTATACGGACTAATATTAATACTGATTGAAGAAACCTTAAAAGTTTCTTCAATCATAAAGCTGATTTAAATATAAATAAATTAGTTAAAAGTAATTTTATTTTTTAATTTTGTCAAATTTTTAAGGTTTCTGTATACTTAACCGAATTATTTATAATGCAGATTACTGTCGTACTCAAATTAAAATCACTTGGAAAGCTTCATTACACTCTCATACGAACTATAATTTGGTTTTTTTTTTAATTTTTGAAAATTATTCATTCTAAGTTTTCATGATAAATATTTCAACTTTTCATATATTAAATTGTTAATATAATATATTTACTCGAAAAATACAAAGATAAATCGTTGCGTTTTAAAATACTTGATTCATTCCTCCCTTTGACATGAAGTCCAGTTAAAATGCTAATTTTTGGATAGGCTATTGTTATGTAGTGAATTAAATTTCAAACCAGAAAAAAAATCTAAGAAATATTTAAAATTTTTACTTCAAATATATGACTTAAATTTAAACTATTTCATGAAAATCTTTTAGGTCTAAATACCTTATTACATAAAATTTTCAATTATAAACATAATTATCGCTTCTTAATATTTTCATCATGTTCTGTTCTAAAATTATATTTAAGACTTTAAAATTTTTAAAATATATCGCAACACTATTTAATATTTATGATTAATTTCTTATAAATAATAAACTTGTCTTATTTGATGTTCCTGACTTTGATATTTTCGTAAAAAAATTACTGAACTTTAAAAGTTTTTTTTATAAAATATTTGCAGAAATAAAAATTTTAATTATTATATCTTTATAATATTGGTTTTGATAAAATCTTTTCATTCGTAAGGTTTTTTGACTGCATAAGGAAAAGCCTTAAATAAGTACACGTAACAGATTTGTGAACGCCTTATTGTCCAGTTTTATCTGATAAATTTTAAAAACAAGAATATTAAAATTATCTAAAAAAATTCAAAGATAAATAATAAGATTATTAAAGTATTGAGAATCATTTAAATTTTTTAACAGAAAATGTACTGTACTGTATTGTACAGTTTCAACATGTTCCTGGTATATCAGGGAAATTAAATTGAGATTTTAAAAAATTTTACTTAAGTATTTTTAAATCTCATTTTTATATACTTACATCTCGATAAACTCTTTGTTTAATAAAACATTTTTTTTATTTAATTAATCTGAAAAAATATTTAATGTCTGAATTGAGTAGAGAAATAAAATTCAACTACAGCAAGTTCTCGATATCGTCGATAGATTTTTAACGCAATAACTCCAAATCAATTTGTCATAGGTTAATTAATATAAACAAGATATTATTCTAATTGGATCGTGATTGCAACCTTCAGTATTTATTTCCCACTTCATACTTGAATTTTCCTCGAAGACGTTATAACGAAACGACGTTAAATGAAGACTTACTGTATATGTAGTCTACATTCATTAACAAATAAGTTATAAACTTAGATAGAATTGTCCGAATACTGCACAATTCGGCATACAGCTTTGTCTTAGTCAGATATGTAAAAGATTGCATTGCCCTTACTATTGGCAGACAACTAGTATAGGCAAATTTGCATGCACGGTAACCGCTGCGTATCGTGCCATTATTACTCCGACTTCGTTAGCTTCATTTGCAATGACACCTTGATAGTTGTTATTTAATGCGATAAGACAATGCAATATACTGGCAATCTACCAAGAAAGAGTGCATTTCGGGAGGACTTTCTATGAGAAACTGATCCCTATTTATGTGTTAGACACGTGAAGAAACCCGAAAACTTCACACGAGCTCATTGAATGAGGCATAGTTTTATCCAATCGGTTATTGGTGGGCCGTGCCGGGATAGAGGAACATGGTCTGCTATGGACCATTGGTGGAACAATTCCACTTCGAGCTGTGGTTCGAAATTCTAATGTGGACATTTCTCTTCTCTCCCAACTCTAAGAAGACTGCAAATGATGGAAATTTCATCTCCAGAAAAAGCCTTTAGCCCTTGACTAAGAGAAAGAATCATCCGATCTATATCATCCGAATATCCGATCGTAGGCTTTTTGGCACGTTCGCCTCTTTTGGCTCCGAGCTCTAGTCAGATCGAACCACTTTGCCTTATTGTAGTTTTGCCATTGCTATGGACTGACAGCGTATCGTCTTTAGCAACTAATTCCTATTCTATTTGATTATGGATCTATTTATTACAATAAGAGACCACCAGTGAGTACTTCAATTCCGCATTTACTGTTGAGTGGCACATTGCCCCAATATCAGAGTTTTAATCTAAACAGCTATCTTTATATGACAATTGGTCACCGCTAGTAGTGCTGTGAGGGTCATTGACAGCACAGTAATACATTCAGGAAATCCTGCACTCTCTTGTGTCGTCTTTCATGGTAGGGCGGCAAACAGCCATTTTCCAGTAACCTAATGCTTAGCCGCTTACAGATAGCATTTTCCAGGAATGTTTCCATTATATTGTCACATTTCCTTGGCTTGTCCAGTCNCATTCAGGAAAGCATGCACTCTCTTGTGTCGTCTTTCATGGTAGGGCGGCAAACAGCCATTTTCCAGTAACCTAATGCTTAGCCGCTTACAGATAGCATTTTCCAGGAATGTTTCCATTATATTGTCACATTTCCTTGGCTTGTCCAGTCTCCAGATTTATCGCTCATCCAGCATTTGTGGGACCAGATGAGATCCTAAAATTTAAATATACTGTATTTAAATTTTCTTTTTCTATGATTCCTTTGCACTTTAATTATAGTTTAATGTATCTGACAAGGTAAGAATAATGCTAAAATTACATATCATTACTATATATGCGATCAAAAGATCTATCTCTATTTTTAATGTAAAATTTATATAAAGCGATAGAAACAGATTATAAATAAAAGTAACAAAATAAAATGATTTGAATAATACATTCTTTTCTCGAATAATTGCATTTAAAAAGTCCATTTTAAGTCTTCTTGGGCCGTAAATTTTTTTTGGTCAATGAGTATGTATAACTTATAGGTAATATAACAATATTATAAAGGCTAATATTTAACCTTAAATGTTTTTATAGATTAATTTCAACAATTTAAACAAATTTAAATTGCTGTATATAATTTTTATTAATAATTCTCTTAGTAAATTTTATTGAAATTCAACATCTTTTAAGCAGACGTACAAATATGTTAATGGCAATAATGCTTTAACAAGTATGATAAAGAGACGTGATTATGTACTTTAACATTATTATTTTTATTACGTAAGTTATTGTTCCACAAGTTAAAAATGCCTTTATTTAAATTGATTTATGACATTGAATCATGAAACTCTAATTTTTAAATCTGAAGACAAAACAATGATAAACATCAATTGAATAGAACATTAACGTGGAATACAATTTATGCACTATTAATTTAATAGAAATTTATTCAGTGTTCTTTTAGTCAAAATTAATATTTAAGTTTTGAAATTTTACTAAAAGAAAAATCTTTAAAATGTTATTTAGTTCTGCAAGTAAATTTACAATGTAATTAAATTTTTGTAAAGAAAATCTTTTTAGATTACTGTAATTCTACACATTATTATTTTCCATGATATTCTTTTTAAAACTGAATTCCTAAAATCAATCTGAGATACATTTTAATAAATTATACTCATAAAATTTTTTAGAAAGAAATACAATATGTATATGTTTTTTAATTAATTGGAAGTAAAGTTACCATAACAAAATCATAAAAAAAGAAGACGAAAAATTTTGATAAGAGTAATATAACATTAATATTCAATTTTTATAAATTTTATTTTGTAATGAAGAAAAAGAAAATACAAAATACATATAAGTAGTATAATAATAGTTCCATCTTGCATTTTGTTTATATATATATATATTTTAATATGTCTAAAAATTCTTCTGGACAAAACTACGTTCAAAAAGGTAATGTGTTCAAAAAGAGGAGGTACAGTAAACCCCCCTATAACGCTTAGATACGTTCCACGTTAATCGAATTTTACGTTGTAGGAATCCTCAAATACATGAGCCAATCACAGCCTGGCACGTGTGCAGTTTACGGACTACGGCTGTTTGAAAGGTTTTCTTCCATAAAATTAATCGATTCTAGGCTAATTTGACTCAACATTTCCAAAACACGAATAATTTTTTGGGAATAATCCGAATAAGCAATGCTATAAACAAAAAATTGTAGGATTACTTACTGAGTGTGCACCATTTGAAGACGCCATTGCTTAAGCTTGTTTTCGTCGCGGAGCGGTTCATCGAACGGTGGGCGCATGTTTCTTGATAAGTTATTTTTCTGCGAAAAATTCGTTGAACTTTGGAGACATCATTAATAGAAATACCTTTTATGGCCGTTGAATAAGAAATGTTTTTTTTTTTTTTCACAAGAAATGCATAAAATTACAGTACTGTATTAGACTTACAGTACCTAATTTATATACTGTACAGACGATAGTAAACTCGACTTACCCGCCTAAACTCTCAGTAGTGTGTAAGTAGTTCGGCTGCTCGTCCACTATTGGTCCAGATTCGACCAATCCTGTCGCGACACGAGCCGGCGATGACGTTTTACCGCATTTTACGAATCTCTTTTAGCGTCTTTATACGAATACGGTCGCAATTTTTTCGCCGCGATATACGAATCCGCATTATATAAACCTGCGTTATAGGGGGTCTACTGTACTTCCGTTTTTTCGGTACGCGACGCAGTTGAACTTAAATCAAATTAATTAATGAAAACCGGTTAATTGACAATCACATAATATAAATGATATCCAAGAATTCGTTTTTAAAGATGCTCAAGTCAAATTAAATAACAAAAATTTATTACATGTAATACAGTATCATATTATATATAATATTACATTGCATTTGGAGGCATTTCTATGCATGAAATACAGCTTAAAAGGTTAGAAAATACTTTATTTTGAAAGTCAGGAACGAATTAATCCATTTTATATTGTTTCTTATGGGAAAACTTGGTCCGGTTTTAGAACAACTTTTATGTTCGGAAACCAAGGTTTGGCTTACAGTATGTAAGAACTCAGGAAAGAAAGCATTTCCAGCTTATTTTTTTATACCCAATAAAACTTTAATGTACTGTACGAGCATACGATTAACATTGAGTAATTCTCTTAGATACAAGATTGATTAAAGTTTATTCTACAACAATATGAAATAACATAATATGTAAAGTCGATATCGAATATAGAATTGTTTTCTTGTAATTATAATAATGAAGTAATAAAATTATTCTAAAGAATATCCTAAAAATTATATTATTAATTTGAAATAGGCAATTTTACGATTGAAAATCATTTAATAATTTTGCTAATATGTTAGTTTCAAAAACAATATTACTGTCTTTATTAAGTAAATAAAATAAACATAGATAGTTTCCCATACTAATTTTTAATTCGTATCTTTTAAAATACTGAATGAAGTTAATAAAACGTTATGATATTTTTATTAGTTTTGTTCATATTTTGAGCCTTAGTATCACTGAAAAAAATTTGCATTTTCTTTTTGGAGAAATCTGAAAAAAAATGAAGGATTCATTTTTATTAGGACACGAGATATAATTTTTCATTTATTTTTTTGTTTTTTATTCCGTGGTTTGAATCTTGGTATTTTGGACATATGACACTTTCAATTTTTACCTCTTTCTTCCCTATGTGCACTAAGAAGGCCTTTTCACAGATCCATCATGAGTTTGGCAAGGCCCACAATGGAGCGGCCGGACGGTGAGAGACAAGATCCGACATATCCGAAATAAATCGCTCATGAAAACTTTCTGGAGTTTTTCAATCGCTCGCATCGACCTTAACCGAGTGTTTTTCAATCGTTTTCTAAGACCAGGAACATACATGCGTAAAATTCGGCTTAAAATCTAGCATAAACAGATGGCGTAAAAATTTGTCTGAAATTTTGGCTGAAACAGAACTGAAAAAAAAGTAGAGCATGCCTACTTTTTACGCCAAAATTCCTCTAATAAAGAGAAGTCTTTTCTGTGATGTCAAAGTAGACACGTGGTTTTTATTCTAACAATGGCGGCAATGAGGGTTAACCCTCATTGCCGCCATTGTTAGAATAAAAACCACGTGTCTACTTTGACATCACAGAAAAGACTTCTCTTTATTAGAGGAATTTTGGCGTAAAAAGTAGGCATGCTCTACTTTTTTTTCAGTTCTGTTTCAGCCAAAATTTCAGACAAATTTTTACGCCATCTGTTTATGCTAGATTTTAAGCCGAATTTTACGCATGTATGTTCCTGGTCTTAGAAAACGATTGAAAAACACTCGGTTAAGGTCGATGCGAGCGATTGAAAAACTCCAGAAAGTTTTCATGAGCGATTTATTTCGGATATGTCGGATCTTGTCTCTCACCGTCCGGCCGCTCCATTGTGGGCCTTGCCAAACTCATGATGGATCTGTGAAAAGGCCTTCTTAGTGCACATANTAATATTAATATTATCTTAAAATATATATATATATATATATTATTATTACTTCAATACAAGATTTAAAATGAGATGGCGCTGTTGTTAGTAAACATGTCTGAATTGATACACGTGAAAAGAAGTTGGTTTTAACGTTGCTTATTTATTTCATTTCTTTTTGTAAATAAACATGAGATACGGTTTGGTATTTCATTCCACTGCCTTAAGGTATCTGTACAAAAATATTTTAAATAGAAAATTTTTACAGTTTCAAACCAAGCCGATAAAACTTTTATCTAATGTAGAATCATTTCGTGACATATACGATATTCCTCTTGATTACGAACCTTTAAATAGGCATTTTCAGTTAATTAAAGAAGAATATGAGAGTCTTCTCAAGGAACAGTCGAACGAATACAGTAAACGCTTGGACGAGCTAAAATCAATTCTGTATATCATTCAAGAAATTGAAAGTACCAAAAATGACTTAACGGAGTTGGAATCTCTTAAAAGTATTCAGATTTTTCTATATAAGATTCTTATTTCTATTATATAATTAACAAAGTAGATTATTTCATTAATTTTATACAGGATTACCTACTGTTACATCATGTTAATTAAATGTAGAAAATATCGTACATTGATCATTTCTGGATACAATGCTTCCCATTTGTCTCACTCATTGATACATTTGAGCTATATTAAAGGAACTGGATTTGAATCTGATTAAGACTCATCATGGATAGTTTTTTGCTTTAACTCTTTCCATCCTTTGGACATTAAAAGGGTCTTTTTAGCATGCCCTCTATGGGTTTGGCCAGGCATACAATGGGATGGCCCAATATATATAGGGATGAACCACCCCCAAAAAATTTCAGAGATTTTTTAACCTGTCCAGATTCAAATTCAATGTCAGAGTGATAGACTGGCACCTTAAGCACTTGGTTATCCAGTATCATCATGGATAATTGTGTTGTTATCTTTCATATTCTACCATATAGCACATAATAAATGAAATAAATTAAAACTGCACATTTTTACCAGAAATCAGAGTAATGCTTTTGAGATTATATGGTGTATGAAAAGAATATTATTATTAAATTAATTCAGATAATTATCAATGCCTCATTTTTATTTATATATAATGCAATTTACATTTAAATTAAAGTTATTTCTTTACTTTTTAGAATCAGTTGAACCTTCAGATAAAACTTTAAGAAGTGCAATTGATGTTGAATTCAGAAATTTTATGACAAGATTGAATTCTTTGAAATGTCAGGTAAATTTAAGTATGTTTTAATTAATGTATTTTTTTATTTGATGTTAAAATTTTACCATAATGCTAAAGTTATGTTATATTCAAAATAATATGCAACTAAAACAATATAATAATAGTTATAGTAACTTAATAAACGATATTTATCATTAAAACTTTAAATTTAGTTTTACTTTGCTGCTAATTTCAGCCAGAAAAAATAAAAAATTATTGTATTTCAATATTTGAAGTAGTACTTACCTTTCTTAATCTATGCAATGAAGATTTTGCAATTGCAGATTTTTAGTTATTCAAATGTTTTCATAATCTATTAATTATAATACCAGTAGGTATATAGTTAACATATATTTCTAAAGACTCATTTCAAAGAATGACCTCTGTAAATCTAAGTTTATATTCAATATAAGAAAAAATAATGTATTATGTATGCATATATTAAATAAGTTATTAATATTGGTAATGAACAATTTTTAAGTCCCAAAATATATAAACAGTATGAGTAACCAAAACAAAAATTTGACAGAAAAAATATATTTAGCACCAATGGGCAGGTTCATAGTACTTTAAATATTGCAGCTATTTAGTTATTAGCAGTGGTGCATTTGGGCTTTAATCTTGGAGGGAGCTGAGTTAAACAGAAAAACTTTTTAAAGCAAATTCAATAAAATTCCTACCTATGTGATCTCTGATTCTTGAATACTATAGAAATAGAAGACATGACACAATATAAATAAAAAAAAGGAATATTATTTAGGAAAATATTTTTGAAAAATTCTCTAGTTTGTTTTTTTTTGGAGGGTGCCAGGGTCCCTTGACTCTCCTCTGGATATGCCGTCGGTTATTAGGTTAGATTTATCTAATCTTGAAAGGGAATTATGTATATCAGAATTAAAAACAATTTAATTCTGTTTCTGTTCAAATCTTGTTTTCTTTCTATGGACAAATGATTTGCAGTATGCATCAGTTTGAATAATGTTTATTATATCATTAATTTTTTGTCATCAAGTATCATCTGAATAAGTGTAGATTAGAATTATCTGAATAAATGATTTGTAAAATATTTTAAATTTCAACTATATGCTTCTGTATTCATACTAAACATTAAAATAAGATTGCAGCTATTCTGTATTGTCTTCTTGAGTGCAATTATTGCATCACTTTTCATCTTGAAACTCTGTTGATTTGAATCTGTAACCTATCAGTGCTTTCATTTTGGTGAAGACATGAAAGTCTGCAGGAGCAAGGATCAATAAGGAAACTGTGGATGTACGCATATCTGGTGTTTTGCTAAATGTTTACTGACTATGAGAGCACTGTTTTAATGGTAAACTCAGCATTTTGATGCTGGAGATTAGACTATTTTTTGTCTTATTGTGTCATGGATGTGACCAAAAATGTAAGACATTGACATTAGGAATAAACTTGTAAAGTATCGGGCATATCATATGAAAAAAGAGTGATATAATGAGTACACTCAAGGAAATAATGCAGAGTAGGCTGCAAAATTATTTTAATAAGGAATACAAACTTTAGCACAAGTTTATAGCTGTAGACAGTGCTTATCTGAATGGTGGTCATTTGTAAATAGTACTATTAATCACTTGCCGTCCATAAATTAAATTAGTGTAAACTATTAACATAAGTTACATACCAGTGTTAAATACTATTGATATAATAAAAGTTATATTAAAAGTTTGGTTTATTTTTGACTCTACAAGCAGGTTGTGTAGAAAGATGATCTTTTCTAAGAGAAAGAATTACAAAATATGGATTTTAGTTTTATTCTATTACACAAAATTATAGAATAATAATTCATTGAATAATTATAGTAGTACATAAACATAATTCTTAATGAGATGTGATATAATANATCAAGTATCATCTGAATAAGTGTAGATTAGAATTATCTGAATAAATGATTTGTAAAATATTTTAAATTTCAACTATATGCTTCTGTATTCATACTAAACATTAAAATAAGATTGCAGCTATTCTGTATTGTCTTCTTGAGTGCAATTATTGCATCACTTTTCATCTTGAAACTCTGTTGATTTGAATCTGTAACCTATCAGTGCTTTCATTTTGGTGAAGACATGAAAGTCTGCAGGAGCAAGGATCAATAAGGAAACTGTGGATGTACGCATATCTGGTGTTTTGCTAAATGTTTACTGACTATGAGAGCACTGTTTTAATGGTAAACTCAGCATTTTGATGCTGGAGATTTTTGTCTTATTGTGTCATGGATGTGACCAAAAATGTAAGACATTGACATTAGGAATAAACTTGTAAAGTATCGGGCATATCATATGAAAAAAGAGTGATATAATGAGTACACTCAAGGAAATAATGCAGAGTAGGCTGCAAAATTATTTTAATAAGGAATACAAACTTTAGCACAAGTTTATAGCTGTAGACAGTGCTTATCTGAATGGTGGTCATTTGTAAATAGTACTATTAATCACTTGCCGTCCATAAATTAAATTAGTGTAAACTATTAACATAAGTTACATACCAGTGTTAAATACTATTGATATAATAAAAGTTATATTAAAAGTTTGGTTTATTTTTGACTCTACAAGCAGGTTGTGTAGAAAGATGATCTTTTCTAAGAGAAAGAATTACAAAATATGGATTTTAGTTTTATTCTATTACACAAAATTATAGAATAATAATTCATTGAATAATTATAGTAGTACATAAACATAATTCTTAATGAGATGTGATATAATATAAAAGAATAATATTTTATTTGACAAGTGATTTTGTGTGTTTTACATAATTCTAGTTAATTTCTAAATAATTATAACAAATTAATAAAATAGAATAAAAATAAAATTTTTAAAATCTATTATATTTATCTTGTTTTTGCTTTAAGTGATATTTTTTCAAATCCAAAAATGGTTTTTTTGTAAAGTGTTTGAATATGTATTTTTTAATAGGCAGTAATTTTAAGGTAAGCAAAAATTATTGTGATAAAAACATAATGTATTATTATATTAAATGTTAAAAATATGTTTTATATGAAAATGATTCTTAAAATATTTGAATGAAATAAGAATATGCAATTTTTATTGAATATTTTATTATAAAATTTTCTATTCAATGTAACTAGAGTTGAAAATAAACTGAACTTTAATATAACAATAGTACAAGTACTTACAGAAGACATCTTAAAATTTAGCACATTTTACAGCTACACATTTCTGTTAGCATTCATACCATTTGTCAAAATAGTATTGGAAGCCATTTTTGATGTCTTTAAGGACTCTTGTTGCTGTGGCTTTCACTTTGACTTAGAAAAGCACATTCCTGGTTCCACATCCATCAGATCAGGAATGTGCTTTCTAAGGATGCACCGATAAGCAAAATGGCCACTTACCAATTAATCGGTCACGCCTTATCAGTTGATACCGATTAATCGGCCGATTAGTGTTAATAATTTATTGTGTTAATAGTTAATTATATTATGATTATTATCGCATGAAATTATATATTCTTAATAAAAATATAAAATTTCATACGATAAAAATAATTTTATAACAACTTGTTATAAAAATAATTTTCAATATGAAGCTATTTTTTTCTTTTTCAGATTCATGTATTAAATTAAAATGATAAATTATTATTTTGATAAACTTTTTAATTTTAATTAATATCCAAATCCAAACCCCTCATGGCTTCCAGTATTGCTTGGAAATTTTTTAAGAAAGATAAAAACGAGAAGTTTTCCAAGTGCAATTTATGCCAGTCTTTTATTTCAAGAGATGGAAAAAATGCTAAAACTTTCGCCACCAAAAACATGATAAATCATCTGGAAAAATGTCATCATGAAAATTTTTTAAAATAAACTTAAAAGATGAAAAGAGAAAGTTCTGAAACGAAAGACGCTGAATGTTCACCAGTAACAACGGAAACTCATATTCAAAGACAAGCTACTTTAACTCAATTAATAGAGAAGAAAAAATTGTGGAATATCAACGATACAAAGAAGTTTATTATTTGATTGGATAAATGATAAGCGTAGATATACAGAATACTTTGTTGTATCAGATTTAGGATTTCAAAGATTACTAAAAAACTCGTTCCTAATTACAATATTCCCAGCAGAAAATATATATCTGAAAATAACATCCGTGATATATTTCAAAAAGTTCAGTCAAAAATTCAGAAAGCTATTGATGATTCAAAATATACAGTATTTCTTTAACCGCTGATATTTAGACAGCAACTACAAATAATTTTCCTTTTTAAAATGTAATAATCTCACTGGTTGAAGGATAATTTTCAGCAAGAGCTGTTTTGTGAATTGTTCCCTTTGAAGGTTCTCATACAGCTACACTTATCAGCGAACAGATAAAGATAGTTCTTGAACGATATAAGTTGACAAAAGTCATAAGATATTCTTAGTACTGAGAGATTCCGGAGCAAATATGGTAGCTGGAATCAGGAATTGCAACTTAGAAGTATTATCATGCTTTACACATACACTGCAGCTGACACTAAACGAATGCATATTTTCTCAACAAGATCTGAAAACTATAATCACAGTTAATAGAAATATTGTTACACATTTTAACCATTCTTCTGTAGCTATAAGCAAATTGGAAGATTTGCAAGACAAGTTAGGTTTGCAGAAACACAAATTAATTCAAGATGCTCCTACTCACTAGAATTCTACTTACTGCATGTTGCAAAGAAACTTTGAACAGCAAAAAGCCCTTGTGCATATATGCTATAGATAATAAAATTTCCACGTTGAGCACATATCAGTGGTCTCTCGTATTATCAAAAGTAGAGCAGTAGTTTCTTTAATGGCATTAATTCCACTATAGAAGGACTAGAAAATTCAATATAAAAAGATTTTCAGCATATATAGAAAACAAATCTCTATGGTTGTCATCCTTATTAGATCCAAGATTCAAAATTAAATTAAAAAAAAATGATAGAGAAAATAAAAAGATGGACAATCGATAGCTTAGATAATGTTGATAATTCAAAATCTCAAGAAGAATTAAATTCTGAAGCTTCTGCTTCTGGAGACAATCAAGATGGAGGATAATCTCTGAGTTTTTCTAATTTATTTGATGAATTAACTTCTGGTGAACGAAAGAATGAATAAAAGCATGTTTTTAAAAATGAAGAAAAAACAAAAGAAACGAACAAACGTTTCGATCGAGAATTAGAATAATATTTACATTTACCTTTTATACAAAGACAGCGACCCATTTTTGTGGTGGAAAGTTCAAAAAAATTTTTTTCTAATTTAAGCAAAATAGCTATGAAATATCTAAGTCCCTCAGCATCTTCCATTGAAAGTGAAAGAATTTTCAGAGTTGGAGGTAACATTTAAGAGCTTTGAAAATGGTGAAATTCTCATGTTTTTGTATTACAGTTTAAGGGTTTTAAAGTTTGAATATTAAATTTTTATTTGTTTTATATATTTAAAGTTTAAACTTTAAATAAAGCAGATAGTTTTGAATAGGTTACATTATACCTTATGATATGTATTGATAAAAGAAATAATTTAAGTTAAAACTTTTTTAATATTTAGATTGTCATGTAATAAATAATAAATATATAACAGAAATTTATTATTTTTTATTACTAGCCTTATATGTGGCATGTTAACAAAAATATTAAAATGCAAAATTGGCTGATTATTAAAACCAATTAATCGGAAAAATGGCCAATATAGCCGATTACCGATTACTTATTGATTAATCAGTGCATCCTTAGTGCTTTCCCAACTTCTTTACTCCCTTGATTTTGCCCATACAATTTTTTTTGTTTTCTAAAATGAAAGATAAGTTGAATGGATATGATTCTAATAAGAAGCAGAGTGGAAGCTTCAGCAATAAAACTCATTAAAGGTATCACAAAAAAAGGCATACAAAACCACTTTAATAAGTAATATAGACACTGGCAGAAGTGTTTTAAGTGCAGAAGGAGCTTACTTTGAAAGGAGTATGATGTGAGAATTTCTATCTGTTATATAATAAAAGTTGTGTTAAAAGTTTATTCTTGACTCAACTATGTTATTTTAAGTAATACGTGTTTAATTTCTAACCATTATTCCCACAAAAACAAAATATGAATTTTAACACAAAATATACACTTAATGTAAACTCTACAGTTCTAGTTGTATTTTTTGGTTTTATCTATTTTTAATTATAGGCATTTAAATGTTTACTCCATTCTGTTTTTACACAGATTTTAATTTAACATACTCTGGGAAAAAATTCACTTCCATTTTTATGGTTTGTTTTGTGCTAACACATTTCAATATATATCTTTTTAAAAATCTTCATTTGATTTAATTCTAAGAAAAAATTTATACTTCCTTTTCTAGAAAACTGCTGTTAATTTTAAAAAAACTCTTAAAATGTGCATTTAAGACATCCACACACTCAAGTAAATTTTAAGATTTGGCTGCTTTTTATAACTTATTGAATATATGTAGCAACATATCTACCTTGAAACATACCAGAGCTTATCTATCTTATAAGAATAATTAAGTGTATAGGAATATTTATCTAACAAATTTAAATAAAAATTTTTTTCAGAGAAGTTCACATTTACAATAATTAAAGTTAATATTACAGTAAATTTATGTGATATTTTCACTTTTACATCAGATTTTTTTTTGCCAATAAAATTCAAAGTTATCAAATGTATTTAAAAAATTTGAAATAAATAAATTTCATTTGTCAACAAAAAAACTTACACACCAAGGTGGCATTAGAATCAGATGAAACTTTATTATGGTAATAAGTGATTACAGTATCATAGCAAAGGGATAATTTCCTGTGGAATAATGGTACAGTTTAAAGCAAATATTGTAGAACCTACTCTTGTCTACACACATATGGTGACACAGTCAAGCATGGAGATATACAGACAGTGTATGCCATCTTGCAACAGATGCTCAAAGAGTGACAAATCTGGCCAGGAAATATGATGATGATATTCTTGGGAAACTTAGCTTTATGCAGCTAAACACTTGGAATATGGCTGTTTGCAATCTACCGTGAAAAGCAATACATAAAAGTGCAAGATTTCCTGAATGTATCAGTATGCTGTCATAGTTCTTCATAATACTACTAAGGTTGACTGATTGCATCACAAGAGATAGCTTCTAAGACCTGTATGTCAGCAGTGAGAACAGTGTGCTGCTTAACAATAAACATAGGTCTTTCATTCACCAGTGGTCATGTATTTCCAAACAGAACCAGAATTTGTTACTAAAGACAATATATTCCCAGTCTAAGTTCTTATTTAACAGTTTTTATACTAAAAATATACAAAAAATCAGCATATTTAAAAAATCTTAACATCAGATTTTCTTTCCGAATTACAATGAAAAATTTAAACATAACCATGATAACAAAATAACAAAAATATTTCAATAACCATTTACATTTGAATGTCAAATTGAAGCCAAAAGAAACTTTGAAAGTTTTTGTTTATTAAAGTTCAGACATTTTAAGTATACTTCATATACAAACACTAAAATAGTAGCAAAGTAATTTTTACTGGGTTGGTGCAAAAGTTTCTGAAATTTTCTAGTTTTATATGATAACATTTATTTCAAAAACAAAAATAATTTACTCAGGAAAATAATTGCCACTACATTCAAGCACCCTCAAACACAGGTCACAAATTTCTGCTGAATAAAACTCTGGCTGTTTTGACTGAAAGAACGCTAAAAGTGTGATTTTCATATCATTATTGCTGATAATGATATGAAAATACTGCTTTCCATCCAAGAAGTTTACATGGAGTGGAAGAGATGGAAGTCAGATGGTGCAGTGTTTGGGCTATACAAGAGTGAGGAAGAACCTCTCAGCCAAGATTAAGTAGTTTCTGCCTGGTCACCCTTGACATGTTTGATCTTGCATTGTCATGAAGAAAGGCACAGTGTTCATCTGTGACCACTTAGTATGGATAGCATCAGCCAAATGTTGCAGTTGAGTACAGTAGATTTTGGAAGTTATAGTAATATTCCATGGAAGCATCTCCCAATGGACTGGTACCATTGGGAGATGCTTCCATGAACATCCCACAAATACACAGCATAACCTTGCACTGATGCAATTCTAGTTTTGGCACACAATATCTTTTCACTTATGACTGTGCAACTCAACATCCTTTATTTACATATCACACAAGAAACATCTGTTTGAGAACAATTTTAAATATTCTAGAGGTGTAGAAATTCCAGAAACTTTCACAATCCAATATATACAATTTTTCTTCAGAGATAATACATTAAATGTTAAAATGCTATAGTTCTACACATGGTGAGAATATAAGACATTTTCTGTGTAGTAAAATCATTTTCATCACATTCTTTAAATTAATTTTATTTTATTTGGTCAATATAACTTGTTAATTAAATGTTGTTATATATAGCAAATATTTTGTTGAAGTGAAATAATACTTAATAAGAATGCTAATTAAGAATGAGTTTATTATATTTGTAATTAAGTAAATTAATTACAAATATAGTCTTTTGATTTTTAATTAATTTATAACTTAGTTATTTATAATTCAATATGTAATTTTACATTCATCATATGACATACACATTTAATTAAGTTAAGAGACTTTATTATTAATAAACTTATTACTAAAATTTAATTACATTTTCAGATTTTTGATTCACTTGTTCCTTCTGAATATATTGATAAAAAAGATATAACATTGGAAATAACTGCTGGAGTTGGTGGAAAAGAATCAACTTTGTTTGCAAAAGATTTGTTTGATATGTATTGCAACTTTTCAAAATGGAAAGGATGGAATTATCAAATATTACAATATGATAAGAGTGATTTAGGTAAGAATGTTAAATATTTTGTTAAATATTAAATTTAAATTTTAATTCCCTAAATGTTTTTAGATGGTTTAAGGTCGGGAGTTATTAGCGTGATTGGTAATGATCCCGGAAGATTCTTTAAATTTGAGGGTGGCGTCCATAGAGTTCAGAGAGTGCCAAAAACAGAAAAATATGGCAGAATTCACACTAGTGTTTGTACTGTTGCAATACTTCCTCATCCATCTGATGTAAGTTTTTTAATTGAAAAATTAAATTTTTATTATTATATTTAATAAAAATCAACCACCAAATTTATGTTATTAGCAGATGTATTGATAGTTTAAAATCTCCTATAAATTTTTCATCCAATGGAGAATTATTGTTTAAAAAATGAAGACATAATCTGCTCAAAAGGGATCACCATTTATTTTCTCTGTGTTCCAAGAACGCAGAGAAAATAAATGGTGATCCATTTAAAGTTTAAAATCTCATTATTTTATTCTAATTCAAAATTTATTTAATTTTTGTAATATATTTTTTATAGTTTATTCCATTTAATAGACTTGTAAGCATTGCAATTCAGAATAAAAAATATTTTACTTGAAGTATTTTCAATTTAAATTTATCACACGTCAAAGCACATTCAATTATGACTGTAATAAGCTCATCTACTGTAATGTATTATTATACATTATGGTAAATGAGCTTATATATACAGTAGAGCGTCGATTTTCTGAATCAATTAGGGACTGGGGTTGTTCGTATAACTGATGTTTCGGATAACCGATTTATATACGAAAAAATAGTTTAACGTATCCGATGTTGAAATTTTTATCCGTTGCGTGTCGCTTCGCGTTGAATTTTCGTCGATGTTAAGCCTAACATAGACTATTGTATCGTTAAAAATTATTTTTTTATTTTGTACAAACAAAATAAATATATTGAAAAATATAAAAATAATAAAAAATTATACTTCAGATGTTAATTTAGTATCAAAAACGTAAAATATTTGAGTAGCCCAAGACATAACCAAAGATTGAAGCGCCACAGCACTGGCGAAAATTTAAATTTGCCAACTGGAATTCTTTTGGATGATTGACTTTTGGAAAATCGACGCTCTACTGTATATATATATATATATAAACCGTATAAGTATTCTTAAGTATATATCATAATATATATAATTTGTGCTTATTTATAAGATTAACAATACAAAAAATAGGAATGATTGGCATATAAATATTTTAATTAGAATATAATCTAACAAGAAAATTTTATATAAACCTAGTAAATATAAAATACACAGAAGAAACTAAGATAATATTTTTCGATACAAGACATTTATTAACCACTCAGCATATATTTGTCAAGGGCGATCATGTGGCAGTGGTGAGGGACAAATATATTCGTCAAATTCTTTTGGGGGTACAACCAAAAACTAGCCTAAAACTACCGCGAAAAACAAATTCACGTGAAAAATGAATTGTGTAACAATAAAAAAAGACTTTTGTTTACTAGACATAACTGTTTACAAAATCTTTTTCTGAAATAGTAATGAGAAAAAAGGCATGGAAAAATACTCTAAAAATTTTGCACATTTATTCTCCACTACTAAGGGGTAGCACCATACCTGACTACTTTACTGTTGAAAGGTTAATCTATACAGTAGACTAATGGCATCTAATTTGGGGATGCTGTCACAGGAGTGTACGGCACACTATCCTAATAGAAACCAAGCACAATCAAAACATTATACAAAATTGAAATGATTCTATTAGAGTTGTGTGCTGCAAACCCTCCTGTGACAGTACCCTCATATTGGATGCCACAAGCTGCTACAGCTGTAAACTCTTCTTATTGTAATCAACTTGAGCCTCTTTTCAACTGATAACATTAAAGTATTGGTGTCAGATTTATGAACATCGCATAAGATATGATATATAGTATCTGTCCAAAATTATGTTTTTGATAACTTACCAGAAACTAATGATATTTTATATTTCATATTCACAAAACACATCATAGCATTTACCACAAAACAGAAGAAATTAATAACATGAGTATGTCTTATACATTACTAGTAACCACTTTCATTTTAATAGAGCCAACCAGAAAGTATGTCTTAGTGATGTATTTCTAGAATTTTTTTGTCTTGTGCTTTATCTTTCCTCAGATATTTCAATGTTGGATGAAAGATAACCAAATTTTATTCCATTAGAATTAAAATGCTTCATAGCTTCATAGATGCTTAGGAAGAAGAAAGATGATAGAAAGTAAACTCACTAAAAATAAAACTTTAATTGACAGCCTTTTGGTTTAAAAAAAGAAGCTATAACATAATGGATGATATCTTTTCATACATCATTCCACAAACAGTTTTAATTCCACCCTGAGAAATTTTATAAATGTTTTTGGCATTCAATGACATCTTAGATGTTTCAAATCAGAAGCAGTCTGAAATAATAATCAATTTCATTATCTAACAATAGAGCCAAATACTCGGTCACCATTATTCCCAGTAAGATAAGTTAAAGTATGCTACAAAATTTATTGTAACCAGAATTTGATTATCATCATCATCCTGTTTACACAAAAAACAGATATTTTTAAGCTCTTTTCTTTGCTACCAACCTCAACATGTGGGTGGATAATATGCAATCAGCATCAGTTATTTTTATTAGTCTTAACCAATGCTTTAAACATTCACAGTTAATCATTTTAATTGTAATTTACTCACAATATACAGGCCAGACTCACATACACCTTATAAGTTACTACAAAATCCTTGTAAGTTGCTACAAAAAGTCTAGTACTGTATTCACAAAGCATACCATAAAAGATATTACAAAAAGTCTCATAATTACTACATTATCTAATAGCTCTTGTAAATCTGTCGACTTACAGATTTATTCTTACATAGTTTTTCATAACAAAGTTATTTCTCTTGTGTGTGGTGGTATAGAATACAAGTTTTATTAACTACATTCTGTTGAAAATGAATTAAAATTAGAATGGAATTATATATATAAAAAGAAATCTCAAACAAGTTTTGTAGATTGTATGTTGAAATTATATATACATCTGAAAGCTTTTGTATGAAATTTCTTATATTTTATCCATCAGAATTTAATAAAAAATAACTACATTAATTAATGAGAGAAATTAAGAAAAATTAATTGTAAATTAAGAAAAATTAATTTCTCAAAATATCTTTAATAAGTTCTTAATTTACAAATTTGATTTTATTACAATAAAATTAAATAAGAATATCAAGAATAATAATAATATAATATCACGAAGAGAAAATGATAGAAATAGAAAATTCTTTCTTTTTTCTAGGTAGAAATCAAGCTAGATCCGAAAGATCTGTTGATAGAAACCAAAAGAGCCAGTGGGGCAGGAGGACAGCATGTTAATACTACAGAAAGTTGTGTACGTGTAACACATCTTCCTTCAGGTATGTTTATCATTAAATAGTGTTTAATATTTAAAAAAAACTTACTTTAAACATTATTTTCTAAGGAGTAATGGTTGAAAGACAAACAGAGAGAGAACAACACTTAAACAAAAAATATGCACTGGAAGCTATACGCTCTATTTTATATCAGAAACAACTTCAAGAAGAAGAATCCAAGCAGCATTCCAATAGGAAACTTCAGGTAGAAGGCTGGAACATTAAATATCTTCTAAAGAATTGATTTATGTTTATATATAAGTAATATAAAATCAATTTATATCATTTAGATAGGTACGGGAGCCAGATCGGAAAAAGTTCGAACGTATAACTTCATCCAGGATCGTATAACAGATCATCGAATTGCCGAAAACGTTTACGGAATGGAAGAATTTCTGAAAGGGCAACAGAAGTTTGAGAAATTGGTAATGATGCTGTTAGATTTTTCCAAGTTAGAGAGGTTATTAGAAATCCTCCATCGTTAAAACGTTCTTATCATCACCAAAAATCAATTCATTGTAAAAAATAGTAATAAAATACATTTTTAGTTGAGAATTAATATAAAAATTCTCGAGTTTTCTTTCGATCAACAGCTTTAAAATTTGTTTTTTTTTTAAATATATATTACATATTACAGAAATATTTAATGTAATGATAAAATTCTGTTGTTAAATGGAATCCAGGTTCAATCTTGTCCGGATTTTTGTATTAAATTTAGCGACGGAGTTTTAATCGACAGTGCACAATGCGGTGAACTGTTGTGGGAAGCTGCATCTCTCGAAACTTCCCTAAGGGACTTTAGGGGGTTTCTTTCCAGTGCGGCTCGAACGTTCTCCACCATCTCCTCCGACACTGTTCGGCCCCACCGTGTTGCTTTAACACACTGCCGATAGCTAAAAATGTGTCGTACCTCTTCGTAATGCTCTTAGCAGTCGTGGCATCTCTCTTAAACACTTGTCGGAATTGTTTTTGCACCCTAATAATAGATTTTAACTCGGCGCACCACACCACCAATCGCGCTTTCTCCGCTAGCGAAGCCATGACCACGTTTTGTTTGCTTGCCCGCCCTCTGGCGGGATAGTTGGGTTCGCCCCGTGTTGAATGATCACATATTGCCAAGTTCGAGAAGAGTGCGCCCCCTAGATTTGATTAAAATACCCCTAGAATTCCTCAAAAACTTTTAAAATCCCCTAAAAAGATTAAAAATATTAAATTCAGTGATAAATAAATATTTATTGCGTTATTAAGGTTAGTAAAGGATTAGACATGTTAAAAAAATGATTTTTTTTCTGTAGGATGTACTATTTTTTTCGATTTTAATCGCTATCTTTATAAAAATTTGTAACTGGTTTCGGTTACAGTTACTTGCAACAGTTTGGCCGAGTTATTTTCTCGTATTTTTCAAGAAAAAAGTGTTTTTAATAATAAATTAGACGAGAATGTCGATGGCCAGCGCGTAACCTCACTCTTTTCCGCTTCGTGAATTTAAATATAAGACAAACAACAACCTGTTAGAATGCTTTAAAGGGGAAAAATTAAGTTTTAAGGTCTAATTTTCTAGTGGAAATTCGCGTACAAGTTTACAAACTTGTACGAACAAACATTGAGTGAACAATACCAAGTAATTGATACGTCAGAGATTCTAAACGACCTCCAAAAACTCTGTTTAACCAGTCACGCAACTCGACGCCTTCCCCAATTTTTCACCAATGGAATCGTCCGTCGCATCCGGCTGGATCATAACTTTTTTCTAACTCGTGTATGACGGTTCGACACATCATAATCCAGTTGCCGCTTAACTGTATGACGAAGCGACCATTAACTTAAAAGGTAAGGTTCGTTAAACTTCTATCGCCTTCTCGGCCGTCTTTTACAGATTCTAAGTTGATTAAATAACTTGTAAGGTAAAGAACTTTTTAAAACAGTTTTATTTTGTGCGTGCAACGAGTCATGCCTCCGCAGAATACCGTATTATTAACCGGAGGAGCTGGTTTTATTGGCAGCCATACTCTTGTCGAATTGTTGAATGTCGGTTATGATGTCATCGTAATTGATAACTTTGTCAATGCTGTGCACGGTACGTATCAATGTAGCTTTTATGTAGAATTTCTATACAGAAAAATGGCACACTTCGCCGATTGTATAAGGTTTTTTTTACATGGAAAAATGGCACACTTCTCTGATGTTTTGCAGGTAGAGATGGACGTGCGACTAGTATTAAGAGAGCCGAAGAAATTACTGGAAAAATGGTTACTTTCTATAAATGTGACCTGCTGGATAAACCTTCTCTATCGGAAATTTTTGATAAGGTTGGAATTTTTTATTACAATTTTTCTGAATTAATAATTAACTGTATACTGTACAAGACGTAGCCCCACTTCGCGCTAGAAACTACGTATGTAGGGTGTATATATTATAATACATCATGACAATAGTAATACATTATGTATAGAAGGTCATAATTTTATATATAATACACAGGCATTTCTCATTTAACGACTAGGTCGTTAAGCGGATTAGTCTATAAACGGAGGAGCTTAGTTGTTTTCATTTATTCTTGATAAAGCCCTTTTTGCCCATAGGTAACACGCTACTGATAAAAGCATACACTTTCGAGAACAACTTAATCTTAACATAATTCGACTCGCGAATTTATCGTAATTTATGTTAATCATCTGTTGTGATACAATTTTTGTAGAATGTAACACAAGCAATAATGATTTATACATAAATTTTCATTTTACAGCACCAAATCGATTACGTAATTCACTTTGCTGCAATGAAAGCTGTGGGTGAATCTATGCAGAAACCTTTATTCTACTATAAGTGCAATGTCGTTAGCACTATCAATTTACTAGAGGTAATTTAACAGAGGTTTCGGATTTCTTTTTTATATCGATAACGATCGTAATATAATGTAGGTTATGAAAGAACACGGCGTCTACAGCATGGTCTTTAGCAGTTCCTGCGTCGTTTATGGTAATCCACAATATTTACCCATAGACGAGTCTCATCCGACAGGAAACGTTACAAACGTTTATGGCAGAACAAAATATGCTATCGAACAGATGTTGGAAGACATTTGCAGAGCCGAGAAGGTAGGTTTTTACCATTAGCTAATGATAACCATGAATATTTACTTATGGTTTTTTACAGCAATGGAGTATAATATCTCTAAGATACTTTAATCCCGTGGGAAGTCATCCTTCGGGCATGATCGGAGAAGATCCTACTCGAGCATTCACCAATTTAATGCCTTATATCGGGGAGGTTGCAACGGGAAAAAAACCAGAATTGGTTATCTTCGGTGGCGATTATAACACAGTAGACGGCACGAGTGAGAATTTGAAATTTCGTTCACTAATTTTTTTTTTTAATTTAGAGATTTCTTGACCACTTTTCATTTCATAAAGGTGTTCGCGATTTCATTCATGTAATGGATCTTGCAACTGGGCACGTTGCAGCTTTGAAGAAGCTTGGAGAAAATCCACGTTATAAAGTAAGTATTGTATATTATAACGAAAAATTCTTACATTATAAATGGGAAAATGGTAATGTGGAGTTTTGACTTATTTTCTAGGTGTATAATCTTGGTACGGGTACTGGTTATACCGTGTTACAATTAATCCAAGCATTTGAAAGAGTGAGTGGTAAAAAAGTGAGTACAGCTTGCTGAATTTAAAAAAAAAATCTTTGCTGCTGCCATATTAAAAATATTGAATCTTTAGATCAACTATAGAATAGCTGAACGAAGATTAGGTGACATCCCTGCAATTTGGGGAGATTGCAGATTGGCCGAAGAAGAATTAGGTTGGAAAGCGGCACATGATCTTGATAAAATGTGTAAGTTATAGAGAAGAGAATATATTATAAATGTATCATCCATTTATCATCATTACATTATTCATTTTCAGGTGAAGATTTTTGGCGTTGGCAAACTTTAAACCCAAATGGTTATAGAACAGAAGAGGAGATAAATGGTGCAATGTAGGTATTAAACAGAAATGTGACATCTTGAAATTATGGAAACGGGTGATAGTCCTTTTTATTACAGAATGAGATTTTAAATATTTGTATTTCTTGATTATTTTATTCAATGATTGTAAATAATGGCATGATTTGGTTACTTAACTGTATTTATATTCCAATATATTTTTAATATAAAAAATTCCAACAATTTAAATGTCATTGAAAAATAAATAAATAAATATTTTAATTATATTACATACCAGATTGCTTTTAATATTTGGATTTGAGTATCCTCTATATAATGAAAGATAATGAAATAATTTGAAGATTCACAGATTAATACTTTTTATTAATAATAACTAATGTTGCAACGAATAGTATATTCGGCCTCAGGCTGAATACCGAATAGCCGAATATTAGGCTTGATTAACTCTCATACGAAAATTGGCGTGCAAACCGCATTATGGTAGGACCCTGCTCTCTATTGGCCCGCTGTCACTACGCTTCGCCAATCGCGTTAATTCTTGGCAGTTGTAGCGGACAGACGAGCGTCATGGCAGTATGTGATAAATGATATCAAATGTGGATAACCTACACGAAATGACCTACACGTGTAAATAACGGAAAAAGGACAGCGAAGTGAAAATAAATATGAAATTGAGTTGATAGCACAATCGAACAAGTCGAGGCAGCTTATTGGCGCGAAATTCGCTGGCCGTCAATGCCAAACAATTGTCGTAGACTTCGGTGCTAAATGCTTGTAATGATACGGCCCCAGGATTCGCCCGTGCACGGGCGTAAGCCTGGGGCCGTTCGGGCTACCTAGCTGTCTCGAATCTGTGAAATCATAACTGTGACTTATACTGACGTTCTATCTGTCTCTTTTCTCCGTTATCACCAGGCTGAGTTACGTAATTGTAAAATGGGAAATCTACGACGGAAAAGTGACGAATAGAAAGTATCGTGAGCGCGTATTATATAGACTAGAGGGATAGAAGAAAAAGAAAGGGAAGGGCGCTTAAAAAGAAGGATAGGCAGGGTCAGACCCTCAGATGTGCGAGGATTCTCCAACGATAGACGTGTACGTGTGCTGATCTCTGTAATTATAAATTGTGAATACATGTTACTAATATTATTTTCTTTTTCATTTTGTGCATGTTATAAGTTATAAATAAATATAAACAAACAATACTAACCCGATAACATTAAATCTAAATACCAAAATGATTAATTTACTGTGTTTTTGTTATTTCTTACTCCTGTTTTTAGGTATTCGGCCGAATAGTGATTAAATATTTGGTATTCGGCCGAATACCGAATAGTAACCGAATATTCGTTACATCACTAAATTAATAACTAATAATTTACTGATAAATTCAACTTAAACATTTCAAATTGTAATTTGTTAGAATGTTATAAATTATAGATTTCAAATCATTATAAGTGCTTAAGTTCAAATAAACAGTGCAGCTGCAAGATAAAAAGTTCAGTGCACTGTTTATTAATTTAGAATAAATACTGAATACATAATAGAAAATATATCTTGCAGTAGAATAATAGTCATAATAGAAAATATATCTTTTCATAAAATATATGAAAATAAGAATAATTGAACAGTTTAATATTTAATGAATGAATCATATTTTCTGAAATTTATCTGAAGTTTTCTTATATGTTCTAAATGTCAACAAATTATTCCCTTTCTATGCAGAAAGACTTTTTCTATTATTTGAAAAACGTGAAATTTTATAAGAATTACTTTTCTTTTTATTAACAACATTGTATTCAATTACACGTAAATAAAAAATAAAATGAAAACAACAAGAATTTTCTAACTGATGATTTTATTTTGCTATGTACTGTAATCGGGATTCTTCCTCAAGATGACAAAGCCTTCCAAAACAGGCGTAAGCGGGATGTCTGTCAGTTTGTTAAGAAAATAGGACAAATGAAGCATGTAATAAAATAAGTAAAATTCACAAGCTGGAACTAATTAAAAGAAATGCCTTAACATATTACTAATACAACTAATTATGTAGTTAAATATTTTAAATTTTAAATCATTTGTTTATAAATTTAGCTTAAATCAGAATGTAAATAATGAAAACAATATATTATTTAAAAGAGCTAACTGGAAAAGAATATTTAATAAAAACATTGCTTAAATAAAATTTCAAATGAATCTCAATTATAATCTCTATATCAGCGTTTCTCAAACTTTGTGTTCGTGGACCAGTATTTTTGTAATATTAAATAGGAATAATTACAAAACAGACTGGGGTTCAAATGCATTTTTCTCTACTTTGATTTTTAGACTGAATTATTAATAAAAATAAAATAACAAAAGTTGGTTCTAATCATTTCAAAAAAATGGGTTTATGGGTCATTTTCAGGTAATTTCTAGGGCTGATTTTGATTGTAAGTCCACCCTGGCAGTAAGTGTTTATTACTTTTATGGGTCATTTTCAGGTAATTTCTAGGGCTGATTTTGATTGTAAGTCCACCCTGGCAGTAAGTGTTTATTACTTCCATTTTTCTTTATTATGTGATGTTTTTAAATTTTTTATTTTATTTTCCAAACAAGTTAGTTTTCAGTTTTATTCATGTTCTTCTGTGCCAAATTCTAAAGTTCAATTGTGTTAGAATACACAGTTGAACTTTTTTGCATAGACAATCTCTCTATTTCATAACCACACTTAGAATAACAAAGTATTTTTTCCCATTTGATACAAATGATGAAATAGAAATTACAAATTTTGTTTAAAACCTAGAAATACAGCAAAGCATAATCATTAATGAAATAATGATCTAATAAAAATGATTGTAAAATAGATGGCTGTAATTTTAGCTATTTTAATGACTTATTTTAAATCTTTAAACATTTAAAGGATACATTCTTCAGTAGCTAATTCTGCTCGTTCACCAAAGGCAAGTAACACAGGTGTGGTGTGTGTCTGGAAACCGGTTATGGTTTTGGGTTTACCTGCTTGTCCAACAATATCAACTGCCTAGAATTATCAATATACAAATGTAATTTAATTCACTGTATCATCTTTTATGCTAAATTATATTAAGCATTTACTCAAATTATTCTATATATTTTAAAAATCATTATATTTATATTAGACTTCAGAATACCAATATTTTGAATTGCTAAGTAAAACAAATTTGCATACTTCATAATAAAACATGAATCAAGAACATATCCTTGTTTTATTAAAATTCTAGACCACTGGTCAGAACAGTTGAAAATACTGTTGTGATAAAAGAAGAATTTAGAATTAAAAGTCATGAACACAATTTTTTTTATATCTTTAAACTGAATGATTCCAATTCTCTCATTTCAATTTTCTTAATTTTTGAAGTGTGCCACTGAAATATGTGGTCACACACTGTCTTGATTAATAAAAATGACTCTTTTCTCTGTTTATGAAGTGTTTGGAAATTTTTCAATAATTACCATCCATAAATTATCTACTTTGGTATAGACAGTATTTGTTTGTTGTGATGGTTCAATGAGTCAAAGTATAATAAAGAATACTTTATGAAGTTCACTCATTTCAATCACTTACAATTTACTTTTGGAGTAATCTATTCAATGAAACATTTTTCTAAGTTATATTTACTATGTATAAATCTCTACTTCTGCACTATAGTGGAACCTTGGTATATGACCTTAATCTGTTCCTGATGTTTGGACTTATACCGAATAGGACATATACCAAGCCAACCTTTCCCGTAAGAAGTAATGTAAAAATGATTAATCCGTTCTCATGTTAAAAAAAAAAAAATGGCTGGCTTTAAACACCTCACTTTCCTGGCTAGTTCCTGCTTGATTTTTCATGAGATCAGCATGTATCTTTTTAGCTTTCTCGCAAATAATTGCTTCTGATACGATGTCTCCAGCACACTTTTTCAGTTATCCAAAGCAAAAGCATTTTCTCAACATGATCTAATGTCTTTGATTTCTGTTTAGAAATTGATTTAATCCCTTTCGCAACATTAGCAGATTTAATAATGTCTTTATTTTTCACAATTGTCGATATCGTCGCTCTCGGAATGCAATATGCAACAGTTAAAATCTTGAGCACACATGTCACCTTTATATTTCTCAACAATCTCTTTTTTCAGTCCCATTGTGATTCTAGTCATTTTTTTAGTTTTCTGTTGCTTCTCATTTGCCTTTTTGCAATTCATGATTAATAAAAATAATAAAATTTTACTTACAAATTAAAATCAGAAAAAATTTAACAAAAGTTATAAACTGTGGCACTGCGAACGTCTAGCCTGGCCTAGTACACAGATAGTGCTACTTGTTCATAGATGGCACGTATAATTGAATTAAGTCATATACGGAGCAAAATTTGTTTTGTCCAAACAGGATGTATTCTAAAGCAGATGCAAATACAGTGGTACCTCAGTATACAAGTTAAGATACTGCATCACATGTATGTATGAATGTATGTATGTAGCACTGTAGAATAAATAAGCAGTTGATTGTACATTACTGTACATATAGGATTGTGTATTAATTTGTAAACTGTAAATTAATTTTTCTTTACTGGTAGGGAGAATTATCTGTCTATTCTCATATCTGTCACAGCCTCAGTCCCAATCCCATGGATAATAGTGTTTCTACTGCATAATGTACTTTTAACAAAATGATACAAAAAAATAATCACCATATTGCTATAATTACTAACAAATTAAAAAAACAAAAGCTAACAAACTGTCTAGGCAACCCAATAAAAATGTTATACTTTTACCAGTTAATACATAGATTAACAGCAACTTACAGATAATATAAAAAGCTATCTTTGTGAAAATTCTCTTACAAAATGTTTTGATTTCAACTATTATTATACTTTTTACTATAGTGATTGAAATTTACTATGTTTGTAGGTACTGGAAAATAAATCAAATGACTTCTATTATTTATCATTATGATAAAATATCAGTAGTTATATAGAGCAAAATCGCATTTTTACTACACTAATAATAATCTAATTATGTCTATGAAAAAGCAAATATATATAAAAAATTAAGTGAAATTAAATTTTTCATTCAGAACTGTTTGTAATGAATAGAAATTGAAACTTCACAAACATAAGATTCAAAAAACACATACTAGATATCTTCAAATAAATCATAAAATTATACAAATTGAACAAATACTTTCACTTATATTACACATTGATGGCATTTTTAAGTCAAAATATAAAACACAAACATTTCAAAATAATGCAAAATTAGTTTCAAAATTTATATTAAAAATGGTGTGAGATTTCAATCTCTTTTGTGGATTGTAAAGCTTCAAGTATGACAATTTATTTTCGATCTTACCCCTCAGTTAGAAAAACATGAAGAGTGACCTTTCTTCTCCTCATTCTGAAGTCTAGAATCACCTATTCATTTCCAGTTTATTCCGATATAAGTTTAATTAAGAAATAAAGAAATAACATAATTGCACTACAAGACAGAGGGTAATGAGAAAGTCACCAAAGAAAGGGAAGAGACCAACCTATTTATCCCTGATCGCTCGACAGATAAAAAACCCAATCAAGTATCCCTCTAAACTGACAATTGTTCAATTGTTACTCAGGTTGTAACCTAAAGCCCAACTTTAGTCAATATAGGCTATTAATCATGATAACAACTGTCAAACAAATGGAATTATGAGGTAAGATGAGTAACAATACTGGAGAGAAGGTGTTAATAATTTGTCAAAACAATTTCTGACAACACATATCAACAACACCCGGACCCAAATCAAACTTAGAACACATTAAATCCTGACCATTCTCACATGGGACACACATAAAAAGGGATAGCACCTGAACATCGGGACGATTGTCTAAAGAGAAGCCTCCTAACTGATAGCATCCTCTTTGGACCTCTACCTCGCCACCTCGGAACTGTCTCAGACTTAGTTGCCTTACCAACTGAACATAGGTATTTTACTTAAAGACTGATGAGACTCTCTCTCTCGAGAAAAGTCAGTTTATAAGTTAGACTAGTGTCAATGAAAATAACAAGAGATGTGAATTATGTCAATCTGCTTCCTTCATGGCAGGACTGTTAAATGTCAGTCAACCATAATCTTATAGAATCATATAGAATTGTTATGTCTATATCTTGTTTAATCCTTCCCTTTTTGTACACTTTAGTTAATAAGGAATTTTACATTAAGTTTCTTACTTATGGCAAACAAAATTCTTTTGCAAACTACTCCTTATTGAGAAAAATCTATAAACAATCTGAAAAATGGAACTATCAAATACAAACAGATGTCTTTCTTTTGAATTAAAGTAGTAAAATAAAGCAGGATGTAAGCTTATGATTTCAGCACAATTTAGTTTGAATAGATTTTATAACTGATCAAAATGCTTTTATGAAGTTTTATAAAATCTGGTAAATAATCCATTCTATTAAAAGAATAAAATTTTTTCAAATCCTGCTGTTCTGTTATTAGGAAATTTTAAACAGAATCACTGAAAAAATTGATCACTTGCTGTGAATAAATCAGATACTGAATTAGTTAATAAATTCCTTTTGGTTATATTTCTCAAATGGACCTAGATTATTCTTAGTTAACTGCTCATGATTAAGTTTAAAATTTACTTTTAGGCAGCTGTGGACATTACTGGTCACTGTATTCAGTATCAATAAAAATGCTTTTTATTGCAATAATTGCATAATTTCAATGAGTTATTAAAATAAGTTTAGCATACTTCAATATACAGTTTTAGTTCATGGGTATGTATGCAAAGTCATTTTTTACGTTGAAAATTAAACAAAACCATTTTTAAAAATTTTGATTTTAGAAATATTTTTTTGTATTGTGTTAAATAATTTAATACTCACTGAAATAAATTGTTTGTACTTACCTGTCCTACTCGAACAGGTACTGGAAGAGGCCTTAATTCTTCATCAAATGTGACTAACATTCGAGGTTGCATTGCAGCCACTAAATGATACATTACATAGTGTGATTTTCCCAATATAACTGTAAATAAAATAAGGATTTATTTTTATTTAAATACATTTGCATATAAACACACACACACACATATATAAAAACTCACTGTTTTTGACATCTAAGAAAGCTACTAATGTTGCAAGCAGCCCAGCAACTGCAACAGGACTCATTAATTGACGATCACTATGATAAGGACAAAGTGTCAGAGTTCCTTTTCCTAAATGAGCTAGACCCTGGGCAATTCTTACCATAAAAAGGCTGTTTGGATCTTTTGCATGGTATTGTGCTAATTGTCTTAACATTGCTGCCAATCTTGCATTATTGGTACCTATAATAATATTTTATTATATTTTGATGATAATGATGTAAATTATTCTATAATGAAAAACTTTTCTTACCTGCTCCTACTATTCCTAGAGCAAAAATGGCATTATAAGTTACTTCTGGATCACTATCATGCGAAAATTTGCTTAGTGTTTCAAGAATGTTTAATTTGGGATTGGAGACAGAAATTAATGCTAAAGCTAGAGGGACAGCTCTTTTGATAATAGGTTCTCCATATCTTAACTATAAAATAGTATAATATAGAATCTAAATTGAAAAAAGGAAAATAAATGAAATTGTTTTCAGCAATTACCAGATGCCCAAAAGCTCGGAATGCCATTTCAGAACCAATATCTTCACCCATAGCAATTAATGCAATACCCAAAACAGCAACAGCTTGATGAGATGATAAATCAGGAGATGAAGTTGATTTATCTTCTTTTTTGTCATCTTTGTCTTTCTTATCATCTTTTTTTTCTTCCTGCAAAAATTAAAATATTAATTTTATTAAGACTAAATTAATATTTAGTTACAAAATAAAATTGCAAAAAACACACTTTAACATTTTGAAAAAGCCAATATTTTATGCATTAGAAATTTTTCAGTCTATTAAGAGAAATCATGNTAGAATTTAATTATTAAAATAGTATCTGAAAAATAGCCTGATTCATTATGGTGATTGTTTGGTTTGGACATTTTTCAAACATTGGTTAAACATTTTAAAACATTGTATATGACATTTTTTAAAATAGTTATATATCATTACAGAATCTTGTTGAATTATCTTTAACAACTCCATTGCAAGATGAATGTATTTATCAAACTCCTTTGGAAATCATTTCTAAATGTTTACAGAAAGTAAGTAAATGAAAATTATATATATTTACTACACATAAGTAGCATCTTTAATGTATTATTAAATTTTAATAAAATATATGAATTTGTAAGGTATTAAATAATTTTTATCTAGGATGAAATGTGGATGTCAAAATATTTGACAGAAGAAACTATTACAGTAATTTCACCATTATTAGAACGTGTAACTCCCACTTCAGAAATATGTGATTTCTTATGTAAAGTATGTTCTATTTTGTAATTAAATTATTATTTTATTAATTCTTATTAAGATTTAATAAACAATATTTTAATTTTGTATAGTATTGTCAAGTAAATCCTCGATCCAGTATAGTGTTAGATTTATTCACTCCTGTAGTACAGAGGATTTTAAAACATAACATGGTATGTATTTATTAATGTTTAAATAGATATATATGCAGACATGTCATTTTTATTTAGTAAAATATTATTATTATTTCCTTGTCTTTCTTGATGTAAATCGAAAATTATGATACAGGACTTTGGAAAGTATCCAAAGACTCGAGTATTTGTTCAAGATTATATTCAAGCTTTAAGTTGCCAAAATGATGGTCAAAAAGTTATTATGGATTTCCTCAATAGGTAATTTGTTATTTTATATATATCATATCATGTAAGAAACTGGATATATAAATTTTCATTTTAAGCATACTTTCTATTCTGCTATTTTATTTCAGATAAATGAATTATTAAAAATTATTCTTTTACACTTATGTATCAATAAAAACTTTTGTAATACTAATAAAAATAAGTAAGAGGAAAATATCTGCATTAAGAAGCAATTTTTAAAATGCCATAATTAGAAATTAAATATACTTTATTTTGTTAAAAAATTAAAGTATATTTAATTTAATGCAATTTTAGTATAACAAATTTAATAAAATGTTAACATTAAACATGTGTATATATAGCCAATTACTCTGCTATCATGGCCACAAACCTAGTATTTTGTATTACTTCACAATACAATCGACCCCCCCATAACACGGGTTCCTATAGTTCGGATTTCTATATCACGGCGAAAAAATTGTGACAGTATTTGTACAAACATGCTAAAAAAACTCATATCATTCGGTAAAACGTCATCGCCAACTCATGTCACAACAGGATTGGTCAAATTTAGACCAATAGCAGATATTGTACAAATCGTTGAGTTTAAACAAGCAGTGGACCTACTAAAAACCATTTATTATTTAATGTCCATAAAAATTATATTTATATTAATGATGTCGCCAAAGTTCAGCAAATTTTTTGCAAAAAATATAATTTATCAGGAAGCATGCGAGTGCCATTCGATGACAAGCTCCACGACGAAAACAAGCTTAAGCAATGGCGTAGTCAAATGATGCACGCTCGGTAAGTAATCCTACAATTTTTTGTTTATAGCATAGTTTATATGGATTATTCCAAAAAAATTATACGTATTAGTCTAGAATCGATTAATTTTATGGAAGAAACCTTTCAAACAGCCGTAGTCTGTAAAATGCATATGTGCTGGGCTGTGATTGGCTGGACTCATAGAAAATGGATTCATAAAAACTGGAAGGTATCTACCGTGTTATGGGGGGGTGGTCGACTGTATAATCTTTTCTTATACACACACATACACATATATAAATATGTTCTGCTTGTCATTCATTAGCTGATTCTGCAGCTAATAAATGACAGGCATCACTTTCAATTACAGTAAACATAAATACTTTTAAATTTTGTAGCAAGGAATTTTGTATCTATTTCATAATAATATAACATATTAAATTCTTACCTGCATACATACAGATATCAATCATGGTAAGAGCCATGCTTCGAAATGGTTCTGGTATTACTTGAAAAGTTTCAATCATTGCATCAATTCCTTCTTGTTGTTTACCTTTTCATAAAAAAAACTCTTAATATATATCTACATGCAGAATAACAATTACTATTAAAGTATTAAAGTACTATTAAAGTACAAAATAACTTTATACTATTTGGTATAAAGTTATTTTGAATTATAGTTGTTACTATTGTAAAAGTTTTTGCACAATTAAACTATACATCATTAAAAATACTGATGTAATAGTTAAAAAAAAATCAAATATAATGTATGTCCTAAATGGCAGAACTATTGTAGAATATTAATAAATTATTAAAATGTAGTTTAAATTAATAAAATAAAATGCCCTTGTAAAAGGCAAAAGCCTTCTATGCCAATAAAGATTACTTACTTACTTAATTTAAATTAATTATATTTACCTAAGTAACATAGACCAATACCCAAAGGTAAAAATCTAGCAAAAGTATCTTTTAGATCTGCTTCACTTTTCTCTAATAAATTTTCCATAATGATCTCAGAGACATGTGAATTACATGAACCTACAGCAATCATACCACAAGCCAAAGCTGTCATTCCTATCACCTGAAAGAGAAATTATTATTATTATTTTTTGTATTATTTTAAAATAATTTAGAAATCAACAATTTATATTTCAAATATTTACCTCCATTGTTGAACGTGAATCACTTAATACAGGAATCAATAACTTCAATACATCAGCTCTATTAGATCCAGCATAAGCAAGTCCCAATCTAAAATGTTAATTTTAAATAAATATTACATATTATATTAAAAAAAATTTCATAAAATAATGAAATTTATATTGTTAATAAATAACTTTCCAATACTGGGATATAATAAACACAAACAAAATTCATTTTGTGATGGATACGAGAAATAATTTTAAACTTTATTTCTAGAACAAATTACATCTAATTTTAAATTGAACTTGTAAAGTGTTCATAAAAGATTGTTTGATTTTAATGTAGCCATCTTGTCTGTGTTATATACATAAAGATGTCTCTTATGAACAAATAAAAATGTTAGTAAAAATATGTTAATTTCTTGTGCACTGGTATAGGTATGTTGTTTGTGGTTATTAATGTGAGAGGTCAGACTTGGAAAGAGGAAAACTCCACAATTTTATTTGGGAATTTTTCAAAAGAAAATTCATTTTTCGTTTTGAAAAGGAAATTTATTTAAATCTCAGAGAGAAAAAAACTTTTTCCATTTTATTACCGGAGGATGAGTGCATTTTCTTCCTAGAGTCGTTTCCTTTCCCAGGGAACTCAGAATGTGTCACTGGGAACTACAACAAAAAATTCACTATTGGTGGAAAACGACATGACTTGGAAATAAAGAGGCGACCTCAAAGAACAGTGAGATGGGTCGAGAGTCCACAAGAGTATTCCCTGCGTGCCAGCCAAAAGGATTTATCATCATCGCTCGTTGCCACGCACCCCTCCCAAATATCCAGCGTTTCTCCAGGAACACTTACAAAGAACTAATGGATCTCAAATTTTCATAGACTTTAACTGCCATCCAAGGCAACAGAGACATTCCCAAGGCTCTCCAATGACTCCACAGACATCTGGAAATCCATACATAATGCTTCAGGTATTTATAACGACCCGCAATGTTATGTAAGCTCTCTCTCTCCAACTCAGTTCTCGCGAAGAAGCTTTAAGGGAAATACCATTTTGTAGAACTAGTTTATTAAACAAATTTTGTTATTGTTAGAATTGTGTTGGGTACATTTCCTCAAGCGGTCTCCATCCTGAGTCCAACCGCCCACAGATGCGACTGCTCGCACGTAAAGGCAAACGTAACGGTCTCTGTGTCTACCCAGAAGACACAGTGGTGTCAGTCCTGATAAATTAAGCATTGTAGTCTTCACCGACGCAATGTCGACCCTTCGGTCTTGTGGTGACGAAGCAAAGGGGGACCCTTCGGCATTGTCACATTAATAAATATTTAGGTTTATTTTTTACATATTTTTACNAAATAAAAATGTTAGTAAAAATATGTTAATTTCTTGTGCACTGGTATAGGTATGTTGTTTGTGGTTAATGTGAGAGGTCAGACTTGGAAAGAGGAAAACCCCACAATTTTATTTGGGAATTTTTCGAAAGAAAATTCATTTTTCGTTTTGAAAAGAAAATTTATTTAAATCTCAAAGAGAAAAAACTTTCCATTTTATTACCAGAGGATGAGTGCATTTTCTTCCCAGTCGTTTTCTTTCCCAGGGAACTCAGAATGTGTCACTGGGAACTACAACAAAAAATTCACTATTGGTGGAAAATGACAACGTGACTTGGAAATAAAGAGGAGACCTCAAGGAACAGTGAAATGGGTCGCGAGTTTGTGAGAGTATTCCCTGCATGCCAGCCGAAAGGATTTATCATCATCGCTCGTCACTGCGCGCCCCTCCTGAATATACAGGGAACACTTACAAAGAACTAACGGATCTCAACTTTTGATAAACTTTAATTGCCATCCAAGCCAACATAGACATTCCCAAGGCTCTCCAACGACTCCACAGAGATCTGGAAATCTGTACATAGTGCTTCAGGTATTTATAACGACCTGCGATGTTATGTAATCTCTCTCTCTCCAACTCAGTTCTCGCGAAGAAGCTTTAAGGTAAATACCATTTTGTAGAACTAGTTTATTAACAAATTTTGTTATTGTTAGAATTGTGTTGGGTGCACTTCCTCACACGGTCTCCATCCTGAGTCCAACCACCCACAGACGCGACTGCTCACACGTAAAGGCAAACGTAACAGTCTCTGTGTCTACCCAGAAGACACAGTGGTGTCAGTCCTGATAAATTAAGCATTGTAGTCTTCACTGATGCAATGTTGACCCTTCGGTCCTGTGGTGATGAAGCAAAGGAGGATCCTTCGGCATTGTCACATTAATAAATATTTAGGTTTCATTATTTTTTACATATTTTTTCATACATTTAATTTTATTCAGAGAAAAATCTAGTTATAATTAAAAAACTAAAATATAACAAGCAACCAGGTGCAAAGCATTTCTAGAAGTATTTAATCTATAAATGTTAACACACAGTATGTTACATAATGATAGGTTAACCCACAATCATTTTTATTCTTAAAAAATATGCAAATTATTGAAAAATTTACACTGTCTCACATTCAGGAGTGTAACAATAAGACAGAAAAACAATTTGTATCAATTCTTTTGTTAAAAAAGGAAGAATTTTTATTTTCTGTGGATGTTTAAAAAAAACATGTCCACCTAAGATATCTTCTGACAGAGTATGAGTGTTGTTTCCCATTCATGCAAAGTTACATTTACATGTGTTCATTTGACCACTAAGTTTTAGTTTACAATTTCAACAGCTGTTTGTGGCACAGTAGCAAGTTAATGCCATGGGTTGAAAAAAGTACATTACAGAAAAGAAGAAATATCAAATTACAGCTTTAAAGAAATGTGGAAAAACAAACAAAAATTTCAAAAATTTTGAAAACAATCACAATGTTGTGAACAATTTTATGCAACTGAAGAATGGTTATGGTTTTAAAAAAAGTCTCCTGGAAGGCCTAAGTTGACTGAGCAACAGAAAAGATCAACCGTTAAGGTTAATAAGTCTGATCTGGACTTCTTTAGGTGCTTTGGCATATTGGAAAGACATCTTAATCTTTAAATTTGCATTATTTTCTTCAGTTTTTAACCAAACTTTTCATCATATAAATATAGAAAAGGCCATTCAGCATCTTTAGCCCAAACATAACAGAAAAACTCAGTGACTGAAATTTGCACAAGAAGTAAGGGCCTAGAAGACAAACAAAAGAGTAATATTCAATGCTAAAAAAAATTCAATTTAGCTGGGCCAGATGCTGACAATTTTATTGGCACATGTGGAAAGAAAGAATATTTTCAAAATGACAAGATGGTGATTCTGTGATGATCTGAGCAGTCTGCAGGAAAAAAAATAAAAAAATAATTACAGTCGACCCCCCTATAAGATCATAGATACGTTCCATTTTTTAGGAATCCGATTTCTTACGAGTAGTTCCAATCACAGCCCGACACGTGTCAAGTTTACGGACTACGGCTGATTGAAAGGTTTTCTTCCATAAAATTAATCAATTCTAGACTAATCCGACTCAACATTTCCAAAATACGTATATTTTTTTTGGAAATAATCCATATAAACTACGCTGGNCCTTTTTGCAATTCATGATTAATAAAAATAATAAAATTTTACTTACAAATTAAAATCAGAAAAAATTTAACAAAAGTTATAAACTGTGGCACTGCGAACGTCTAGCCTGGCCTAGTACACAGATAGTGCTACTTGTTCATAGATGGCACGTATAATTGAATTAAGTCATATACGGAGCAAAATTTGTTTTGTCCAAACAGGATGTATTCTAAAGCAGATGCAAATACAGTGGTACCTCAGTATACAAGTTAAGATACTGCATCACATGTATGTATGAATGTATGTATGTAGCACTGTAGAATAAATAAGCAGTTGATTGTACATTACTGTACATATAGGATTGTGTATTAATTTGTAAACTGTAAATTAATTTTTCTTTACTGGTAGGGAGAATTATCTGTCTATTCTCATATCTGTCACAGCCTCAGTCCCAATCCCATGGATAATAGTGTTTCTACTGCATAATGTACTTTTAACAAAATGATACAAAAAAATAATCACCATATTGCTATAATTACTAACAAATTAAAAAAACAAAAGCTAACAAACTGTCTAGGCAACCCAATAAAAATGTTATACTTTTACCAGTTAATACATAGATTAACAGCAACTTACAGATAATATAAAAAGCTATCTTTGTGAAAATTCTCTTACAAAATGTTTTGATTTCAACTATTATTATACTTTTTACTATAGTGGTTGAAATTTACTATGTTTGTAGGTATTGGAAAATAAATCAAATGACTTCTATTATTTATCATTACGATAAAATATCAGTAGTTATATAGAGCAAAATCGCATTTTTACTACACTAATAATAATCTAATTATGTCTATGAAAAAGCAAATATATATAAAAAATTAAGTGAAATTAAATTTTTCATTCAGAACTGTTTGTAATGAATAGAAATTGAAACTTCACAAACATAAGATTCAAAAAACACATACTAGATATCTTCAAATAAATCATAAAATTATACAAATTGAACAAATACTTTCACTTATATTACACATTGATGGCATTTTTAAGTCAAAATATAAAACACAAACATTTCAAAATAATGCAAAATTAGTTTCAAAATTTATATTAAAAATGGTGTGAGATTTCAATCTCTTTTGTGGATTGTAAAGCTTCAAGTATGACAATTTATTTTCGATCTTACCCCTCAGTTAGAAAAACATGAAGAGTGACCTTTCTTCTCCTCATTCTGAAGTCTAGAATCACCTATTCATTTCCAGTTTATTCCGATATAAGTTTAATTAAGAAATAAAGAAATAACATAATTGCACTACAAGACAGAGGGTAATGAGAAAGTCACCAAAGAAAGGGAAGAGACCAACCTATTTATCCCTGATCGCTCGACAGATAAAAAACCCAATCAAGTATCCCTCTAAACTGACAATTGTTAAATTGTTACTCAGGTTGTAACCTAAAGCCCAACTTTAGTCAATATAGGCTATTAATCATGATAACAACTGTCAAACAAATGGAATTATGAGGTAAGATGAGTAACAATACTGGAGAGAAGGTGTTAATAATTTGTCAAAACAATTTCTGACAACACATATCAACAACACCCGGACCCAAATCAAACTTAGAACACATTAAATCCTGACCATTCTCACATGGGACACACATAAAAAGGGATAGCACTTGAACATCGGGACGATTGTCTAAAGAGAAGCCTCCTAACTGATAGCATCCTCTTTGGACCTCTACCTCGCCACCTCGGAACTGTCTCAGACTTAGTTGCCTTACCAACTGAACATAGAGGTATTTTACTTAAAGACTGATGAGACTCTCTCTCGAGAAAAGTCAGTTTATAAGTTAGACTAGTGTCAATGAAAATAACAAGAGATGTGAATTATGTCAATCTGCTTCCTTCATGGCAGGACTGTTAAATGTCAGTCAACCATAATCTTATAGAATCATATAGAATCATTATGTCTATATCTTGTTTAATCCTTCCCTTTTTGTACACTTTAGTTAATAAGGAATTTTACATTAAGTTTCTTACTTATGGCAAACAAAATTCTTTTGCAAACTACTCCTTATTGAGAAAAATCTATAAACAATCTGAAAAATGGAACTATCAAATACAAACAGATGTCTTTCTTTTGAATTAAAGTAGTAAAATAAAGCAGGATGTAAGCTTATGATTTCAGCACAATTTAGTTTGAATAGATTTTATAACTGATCAAAATGCTTTTATGAAGTTTTATAAAATCTGGTAAATAATCCATTCTATTAAAAGAATAAAATTTTTTCAAATCCTGCTGTTCTGTTATTAGGAAATTTTAAACAGAATCACTGAAAAAATTGATCACTTGCTGTGAATAAATCAGATACTGAATTAGTTAATAAATTCCTTTTGGTTATATTTCTCAAATGGACCTAGATTATTCTTAGTTAACTGCTCATGATTAAGTTTAAAATTTACTTTTAGGCAGCTGTGGACATTACTGGTCACTGTATTCAGTATCAATAAAAATGCTTTTTATTGCAATAATTGCATAATTTCAATGGGTTATTAAAATAAGTTTAGCATACTTCAATATACAGTTTTAGTTCATGGGTATGTATGCAAAGTCATTTTTTACGTTGAAAATTAAACAAAACCATTTTTAAAAATTTTGATTTTAGAAATATTTTTTTGTATTGTGTTAAATAATTTAATACTCACTGAAATAAATTGTTTGTACTTACCTGTCCTACTCGAACAGGTACTGGAAGAGGCCTTAATTCTTCATCAAATGTGACTAACATTCGAGGTTGCATTGCAGCCACTAAATGATACATTACATAGTGTGATTTTCCCAATATAACTGTAAATAAAATAAGGATTTATTTTTATTTAAATACATTTGCATATAAACACATACACACACACACATATAAAAACTCACTGTTTTTGACATCTAAGAAAGCTACTAATGTTGCAAGCAGCCCAGCAACTGCAACAGGACTCATTAATTGACGATCACTATGATAAGGACAAAGTGTCAGAGTTCCTTTTCCTAAATGAGCTAGACCCTGGGCAATTCTTACCATAAAAAGGCTGTTTGGATCTTTTGCATGGTATTGTGCTAATTGTCTTAACATTGCTGCCAATCTTGCATTATTGGTACCTATAATAATATTTTATTATATTTTGATGATAATGATGTAAATTATTCTATAATGAAAAATTTTTCTTACCTGCTCCTACTATTCCTAGAGCAAAAATGGCATTATAAGTTACTTCTGGATCACTATCATGCGAAAATTTGCTTAGTGTTTCAAGAATGTTTAATTTGGGATTGGAGACAGAAATTAATGCTAAAGCTAGAGGGACAGCTCTTTTGATAATAGGTTCTCCATATCTTAACTATAAAATAGTATAATATAGAATCTAAATTGAAAAAAGGAAAATAAATGAAATTGTTTTCAGCAATTACCAGATGCCCAAAAGCTCGGAATGCCATTTCAGAACCAATATCTTCACCCATAGCAATTAATGCAATACCCAAAACAGCAACGGCTTGATGAGATGATAAATCAGGAGATGAAGTTGATTTATCTTCTTTTTTGTCATCTTTGTCTTTCTTATCATCTTTTTTTTCTTCCTGCAAAAATTAAAATATTAATTTTATTAAGACTAAATTAATATTTAGTTACAAAATAAAATTGCAAAAAACACACTTTAACATTTTGAAAAAGCCAATATTTTATGCATTAGAAATTTTTCAGTCTATTAAGAGAAATCATGTTTACATTATATAAACAATTATTCAGCAATAGTTTACTTGATCAGTGATGTGCCATGTGATTAATTATTCAGTAAATAATTTGCTTGTCAAACAATGTATGAAATGAATTTATCAATTTTGTGTGTCATTCATTTTCACATCATGACAATATTCAGAATTCAATTTCCAGGTAAGCAATTAAGGTATATGAAAGATGCATGTCAATAAGAAGAAAAACAAGTAACAATTTTTCTATCTGGATGACTATTAGAGTAGCTTTTTAATTTTTTCTCTGATATAACATTTTATAATTATTACTATTAAAATATACCTTTTCATTGGGTTCATAATGTTCACTGCATATGTGTTGTAAGGACTGAATCTTTAATACATTTCCTGTTCCTGTTAAAAGAAAAATCATCACATATACTTGAACTATTTCACTGTCAATAACTGAGCTGAAAGTTATTAGAGATAGAAAAAAAAATATTTTCAGATTAAAAAAGAACACCAAATGTTAATTTAATATTTATGAAAAAATAATTTATTACAAAAATATGTTAAAAATTTAATACTCTAATACATTAATATATAAATTTAGTATTAATTAGAGTTTTTATTTTATTTTCTGTATATCAAAACCTAAATATTAAAAAGAAGGAAATATATTTTTCTTTTCACGAATGCTCAAAACACCACCAAATTTTTATATTTTGCTTTATTACACATAATTTTAAACAAAATAAAACTAAATGCAGTGTGTAGCGTCTGTGTAATCCAAAACGAGTTGGTAGACGAACAGACAGCAATTGGTTAGAAAACGTACGTTTTATTTAAAAAATTCCTAATTCATATGCATTTTGGGTTGGCTTATGAATTAGGAATTTTTTAAATAAAACGTACATTTTCTAACCAATTGCTGTCCGTTCGTCTACCAACTCGTTTTGGATTACACAGACGCTACACACTGCATTTNAATACAAGATTTAGTAGCAGATGGTCTAATCACTTTATATCTTGAAGCACATGCTGGAGAATATATTGCAATGATGTGTGTTGAATCCAGATATGAGGATAGCCCCTATATGACTCTTAATTCATATAAGAGAAGAAGATTAAAAAAAAATAAACATCGTCAAAGTCTTAATAGTCATAAAGATCGCAGTCTTGGTAAATCGGATTCTAATCATATTGATTCATCTGATAGTTGTGAGAAAGCTACTTCAGAGGTAAATTTAGTATGATAATGATAAAAGCTAATAATAAAAGTTTTTGCACATAATTATTTATTTTTCATTGAAACTAAATAATAGGTTGTAATATATATATAATAATTTTTTTTATTTAATGTTTTTAAAATATCTTTATCTTTGATTCTCTTACTTAAACATTTAGCCTATTTTCTAAATGTTTTTATTGTGTTATCAATGTGATATTTAGTTATTTGTTCTTTATGAATTTATAGTTTCTAGTTACGCTAAAAATTAGATATACATGTTAAAATAAGTCAACTGGAATGTTTTTTGTTTCAGATTTAAAATACATTAATCGTAGATGTAATTTAAATCTGATGTTTGGAAGAACATTCAATCTTTAGAACATCTACTTTAAGATAACTTATTAAAGCTTTAAAAGATATTGGTCAAAAATTATAAATTAAGTGTTTTAAACTGGAAAAATGATAACTTTAAGAATTTAAAAGAAAAACTTTTATTATTAATTTTTATTTACGATTCTCTTAATAAGAGCTGATGTGACAATATTATGTGCAGTTTGTATTTTTACAGATAAATGTGTCTCCTTCTCGAGATACATTAGCAAATGATATTGATGTTCAACAGTTTCAGAAGCCTCATTCTTTTAAGGTGAAATATAAATATTGTTTTAAGGAAAATTAATTCATTAATTTTTTAATAATAATAATAATTTGTTTTATTTTCAGGTTCATAATTTTAAGGGTTTGCCTTGGTGTGATTTTTGTGGTAATTTTATGTGGGGACTCATTGCTCAAGGTGTTAAGTGTGAAGGTTGGATTTATAATTTGATTTTATATTTGAAGCAAATTGCAAAATAGTTAATGAAGCAATTAAATTTTTATTGTAGATTGTGGATTCAGTGCCCATAAACATTGTTCAGAAAAAGTTCCAAATGAATGTTTGCCTGATTTGAAGTATGTTAAAAGAATGTTTGGGGTTGATTTAACTACACTAGTCAAAGCACACAATACGTTGAGACCACTTGTAGTTGATATGTGCATCAAAGAAATAGAAAATAGAGGTATTTTTTAAAATAATAATTTGTTATTATTAATAATAGATGAAACAAATTTTATTTTATTAAAATTATATACACTAGGTTTAGAAGTAGAAGGATTATACAGAGTTTCTGGATTCAGTGATGAAATTGAAGCAGTTCGATTAGCTTTTGATAAAGGTTAGTCATTGCTTATAAATAAATTTTTTATAAAAATTTTGTTTAGTCAGTATATTGTGTTTGTTATCTTGTGTTTATCAATATTGAGTTATAACAATAACTCAGTATTGATATCACAAGATAACAAACACAATATAAAATTTATCAATATTGAGTTATGACAATAATATTGATAAAAGTAAATATAAATAAAGTACATTAAAATATGCATTTGGTAATATTATCAAGTTTAATATGTAACTTTTAAGTAAATATTAACTCATAACTCAAAAAATAGTTATGAAAAATAGTTGACATTCCTTTTAACACTATGATTGTTCTTTTATCTATGCCATGGTAAATGGATTCAAATTGATATTAAATATATTCATTTAATAATTAACAGTATGGATTTATCATAATGAAAGGAAGATATTAGAAAAGTAAAAATCAAATAAATCAGTAACAGAAATTACAATATATTATATTTTATGTTGGTAACTTAGGATAGCATATAATATAAATGCTTCAATTATACTCAAATTTTAAACTAATTGCAAAAAACAGTAATTTTGTTTATAACAATGAAAACAGTAAGTAATATTAACTTAATTATCATCAACCTTTTATCAAATACTTCTGTTAGAAATCTGTTGAAAGTTTGATAGCAAATAGAAGTATTTTATGAAAAATTGATAATGGTTAGTGTTATCAGATTTTGATTTTTTGTAATGTTGTTGTTATTACAATTTATTAACAATAATGTTTATTTATACCTTTTTAATTAAATAAATATAAAATATATGCTTTAAAAGTTTACTAGCTTATCAAAAGGTAAGTAGTTATTTTTAAAATTTTAATTAATAATAATAATACATTAAAGTTACCATTAAATATTTTTTGATAAATTTTTAAATTGAAATATTATATCACAAAAAAATATATTATTCATAATCTTATCTAACATGAGTATTTCTGAGATTAAAATAAGCATATATGGAAATTTCCATATAAACAAACTAACAATTATTTTATTAACCATGTCTACTGCTTTTATTTTTTTTTAAAGTTTATTTTATTTATTATTATTATTATTTTTGACAAACTGTATTTCATATTTAAGTTGTTTTTATTTGAGACAAAATATTCTTTATGGTTTTATTATTTGAATTACCTTTTATTTAATTAATAATTAGAAATAAATAAAATTATCTCTAATTATTAATTAAATTTGAATTTGTTCATTTTTTTAACAGACTTGTTTTTTGTACAAAAATAAGTTGAAACAAATGGATAAAAATGTGTGACGGGTATAAAAAAAAACACTCCTGGGTCAGGATGCTTTGACACCACCTCTATTTTTGAGAGACACAACAAACCGTTTGAATGCACATGAGTGATTTCGTATGAGGGAACTTTGAGGTAAGCGAATGGAATATGTGAAACCCAGAAGTGATTCACTCTACTACAAAGTTAATAGTAAAACAACAAAGATTTATTTTAAGCATGAGCAAATATTACTACACATTACAAACAACAGAAACTACATCTAGAAGGAATTTCTATACTGTCTGGCATAACCTAATTGCACCTATGATAATTCCACATGAGAGAGAGTTTACAAATTGATCACATGTCAATAATTACCTCTGAACAATGAGGGTTCTTCATTCCTTTCTTGGACTGCAGGAATGAAAGTTTGTGACACAAAAATCCTTTGATGTTAAACCTTTGATAAGCACTAACACAATTCCACTTGGGGATCTAAGTGACTGAGGCAGTTGGGTCTTTCTGGTCTAAATTGACTTTAACTTTCTTTCAAACTCTGTTGAACTTCACTGACCTTGCATCAACTTTCCTTTTTATTCTGTTCTTTTTCTCAAATTCTAGACATACACAAATTTGGTAAAATTGGATAGAGTCCAAATATTGTCCAATCCCAGATTTCGCTTTTTGACTTCTGTTAGTAGTCATCCCAGGAAGATGTATCATTTCAAAAGGAAGTATTGTCAAGAGATAAAATCTCTGGAACTTTCCTGTTGATTTCCAAAATATTAGTTTTACCTTTTTAATTTAATTCAAATATTAAATTTTATAAATAATAGCATAGTATCTCACAAATGCAAAAACAACTCATTTTAAAATAATAACAAAATGAATGAAAATAAAAAAGATACAACACGAAATGTAACACAGAAAAGAATACTAATTTTTTTTAAACAGCCTTTTTTTATTATTGAAGAGATGTAACCACATCATATGTATTTCGAACTGTATTATATAACAGTTTCTCTTTAGTGATAGAAAAACACAATAATAACATAATATTCTAGTGTACAAGAGTTCTGAGATACAGTTTAATCATATACTGGTGGTCATTTTTATATCATTATACCAATCGTAAAAATTTGCATACCATCATTTACATTCAGTTTATTTTTAGCATTAATGATTATTAAATGCTCTTAAAATTTTTTTTTTATAAATATTTTTTTCCCTATCAACTATTTTAATTTCTGAGGTATCTATATTACAGTTCTCATTTACATGTTTCAATCACGGTGAATTTATATATTTCAATCTAATTCCTGTTAAATGTTTTTTAATTCTTTTTTCCAGTTTTCTTCCTGTTTCTCCTGTATATATTTTTGATTCTTGGCTTATACTGTACATTTTAATTGTAGATAACTCTTGTTTCCTGTAAGATATCAATTTTTTCTTTTTTATTCATATTTATTATTTTACTTGATGTATTTTTTATGGTTGGTGCTAAATTTATTTGTTTTTCTTTAACATTTGCTTTTTCTTTTTGTTTTTTAACATCATATCAATAGTTAAAATATTGTCTCCCATTTTTTCAGTAAATTATATGGGTAGTTATTTAATATAAATTTATTTCTCACTTCATTGATTTCTTTATTCCTATTTTCATATGTAGTTCTTGTATAGATCTGTGAGAGGTCGGACTTGGAAAGGGGAAAACCCCACAATTTTATTTGGGAATTTTTCGAAAGAAAATTCATTTTTCGTTTTGAAAAGAAAATTTATTTAAATCTCAAAGAGAAAAAACTTTCCATTTTATTACCAGAGGATGAGTGCATTTTCTTCCCAGTCGTTTTCTTTCCCAGGGAACTCAGAATGTGTCACTGGGAACTACAACAAAAAATTCACTATTGGTGGAAAATGACAACGTGACTTGGAAATAAAGAGGAGACCTCAAGGAACAGTGAAATGGGTCGCGAGTTTGTGAGAGTATTCCCTGCATGCCAGCCGAAAGGATTTATCATCATCGCTCGTCACTGCGCGCCCCTCCTGAATATACAGGGAACACTTACAAAGAACTAACGGATCTCAACTTTTGATAAACTTTAATTGCCATCCAAGCCAACATAGACATTCCCAAGGCTCTCCAACGACTCCACAGAGATCTGGAAATCTGTACATAGTGCTTCAGGTATTTATAACGACCTGCGATGTTATGTAATCTCTCTCTCTCCAACTCAGTTCTCGCGAAGAAGCTTTAAGGTAAATACCATTTTGTAGAACTAGTTTATTAACAAATTTTGTTATTGTTAGAATTGTGTTGGGTGCACTTCCTCACACGGTCTCCATCCTGAGTCCAACCACCCACAGACGCGACTGCTCACACGTAAAGGCAAACGTAACAGTCTCTGTGTCTACCCAGAAGACACAGTGGTGTCAGTCCTGATAAATTAAGCATTGTAGTCTTCACTGATGCAATGTTGACCCTTCGGTCCTGTGGTGATGAAGCAAAGGAGGATCCTTCGGCATTGTCACATTAATAAATATTTAGGTTTCATTATTTTTTACATATTTTTTCATACATTTAATTTTATTCAGAGAAAAATCTAGTTATAATTAAAAAACTAAAATATAACAAGCAACCAGGTGCAAAGCATTTTTAGAAATATTTAATCTATAAATGTTAACACACAGTATGTTTCATAATGTTAGGTTAACCCACAATCATTTTATTCTTAAAAAATATGCAAATTATTGAAAAATTTACACTGTCTCACATTCAGGAGTGTAACAATAAGACAGAAAAACAATTTGTATCAATTCTTTTGTTAAAAAAGGAAGAATTTTTATTTTCTGTGGATGTTTAAAAAAAACATGTCCACCTAAGATATCTTCTGACAGAGTATGAGTGTTGTTTCCCATTCATGCAAAGTTACATTTACATGTGTTCATTTGACCACTAAGTTTTAGTTTACAATTTCAACAGCTGTTTGTGGCACAGTAGCAAGTTAATGTCATGGGTTGAAAAAACACATTACAGAAAAGAAGAAATATCAAATTACAGCTTTAAAGAAATGTGGAAAATCAAACAGAAATTTCAAAAATTTTGAAAACAATCACAATGTTGTGAACAATTTTATGCAACTGAAGAATGGTTATGGTTTTAAAAAAAGTCTCCTGGAAGGCCTAAGTTGACTGAGCACCAGAAAAGATCAACTGTTAAGAAAGTTAATAAATCAGATCTGGGACTTCTTTAGATGCTTTGGCACATTGGAAAGACATCTTAATCTTTAAATTTGCATTATTTTCTTCAGTTTTTAACCAAACTTTTCATCATACAAATATAGAAAAGGCCATTCAGCATCTTTAGCCCAAACATAACAGAAAAACTCAGTGACTGAAATTTACACAAGTAAAGGCCTAGAATACAAACAAAAGAGTAATATTCAATGCTAAAAAAATTTCAATTTAGTTGGGCCAGATGCTGGCAATTTTATTGGCACATGTGGAAAGAAAGAATATTTTCAAAATGACAAGATGGTGATTCTGATGATGATCTGAGCAGTCTGCAGGAAAAAAATTAAATAAAAAATAATTACTTCATTTTTAACTAAGTACATTAATGCAATATCAGAATATGATTGACCACTTGTTGTCATTTTCAGAAATTTGCTGTATGATCAGGACATTGTTATGCTTCAAATTTCAGCATAACAATGTCCTGATCATACAGCAAAGTCAAGCTTTGATTGGTTTCTAGCAAAATGATTGACTGGCAATTTTGTAGTCCTGGTTTAAACCGCCAAAGAAAATCTGAGAAACATTTGCAAGAACTGTATATACAAACAGAAAGCAGTACAACTCCACATATGAAAGAAGTAATTCTTCAGTGACAGCCATCAGATTACATTACATGCAGAAACTTAATTTGATGCAAAAAAATAATTTATGAATTAATTTTGAAAAAATAAATTTATACTAGTTTATTTTATTATTAATTTATGACTGTTTAGTTTTGTAAGCCTATCTTTTATAATACTTATTTTTGCTATTTTGAGTTCACTCTTGTAACTACATTTGCTGTGTTTTTTCTTACATAAGTTGTTACTATAATCTTGTAACTTTGTAACTTATAACAAACGGAAGCTAAAAATGTTAAATAGTCATTCAATGTATAGTGCAATGTCTAAAAAAATTATATAAAAAAGAATTAAATTTTTTGACAAAGGTATTCTTCAGAATTTGTTTATTAGAATATCTTTAAAAATTTATTTTAATGAATGTTTCTCATTCATGTTTGTTCTCAGAGAAGTCCAAGCAATCTGAAAACAAGCAGTCCAACTCTAAATATTTATTCATGGTAATATGTGATTACCTTAAAAAACACTGGTATGAGATTTTGACTAATTATAATATTCAAATACTAAAACTTTTACTAACCCAACAATTGCACCAATTCTCATCATTAAATTATTGTGTGTTACAAAATCAGATAACAGAGCCAAAGCTGGATCACATTCATTGCGAACTCCACAGTTCACAATTCCACATGCCAGAAGTGCACCAGCCTGAAAATATTCAATTTTTCTTATTTCAATAGAGAATTAAATGCAATAAAAAAAACACATTATTATTGAACTATAAAAAAAACAACAAAAATTTTTTGAGATAAAAAACATAATTAACAAGAAATCATATCTGTCATTTTTAATTAAAGATTACTATATTTGTTCTTCCTAAAAAAAATTAGATAATTGTAATGATCTTATTAAAGAAAGATAAAATTATTTTTGTTTAGAAACAAAGAGTAATACTCATTTAAAATACAATATCAATTTATGATACCAAATAATTACAGTCGACCCCCCTATAACACTGTTGATTTTTCCGTTTTATATGAATTCCATGCTGTACGAGTCACTTAGATTTTACAAATATGTGATCCATTCACAGCCCGGCACACGTATTTATAAAATCTAAGTGACTCGTACAACATGGAATTTATATAAAATGGAAAAATCAACAGTGTTATAGGGGGGGGTCGACTGTATAATGCATTATGATAATTACAATAGTTTAATTTCATTCAAATTAAACTAATGGGTTTATATTCAAGAGCAAGTACTATTAGTTCTATTCACTCACTTTTTTAACTTTGTTGTGAATTTTGAATATATTCTTTTAAGTATTATGATGAAATAAATAAGTTACATATGTGGGATACGCAGTGGGTCAGGGGTTAATCTCGTACTGACCACTTAATCTGCACAGGCTGGTAAAGCCCGATCTCGGAGTCGTAGGATGGCTAGGAGGGCAAAACGAGTGGGGAGTGCGTCGGTAAGTCGACAGGTTTCCTCGGATAGATAGGAGACAGGTTTAACAAATAACAAGATAAAGGTTTATTATATAACTAAAGTAATTTACAGGATATAGCTTAGATGCGGATAACATAAATTTATCTATAAGGGAGCTGTAACTATTCACTATGCCGCGTGAGCGTTTACAAAGAGAGTTATAGTGGCGGTCAGTTATACCTTATGTCGGAGGATGGTATGCGAAGATCATTCTGGACTATGGAAGCTGGCTGTCTGTCACAGGCTTATGTCTTCTACCGGCTTCTCCTCGGACAGGATCGGGATGGGAGACACTGTATTCAGACCTTCCTGAGGATCGCGCGGAGGGACAGTCGCACTGAGGGGACGATCGCCCTGAACTTCCCGTGACGATCGTTTTTATACGATCGTCGTTGGCACTGAGCCAACAGGTCATTCACTCGTTATGCTGACTAATTAGCACGTGCACGTTGACTAATTNAAATATGTAAAATAAAACAACTAATTATAAATAATCTAATAATTAAAATAACAAGTTTACAGTAAAAAAATATATGACAGAAATAAATGTTTTTAATTCTCTTAAATCCAAAAGAAAATTTGAAACTGCTGCAGTTTTATATATTTTTGTTAAAGCCTAATAATTTTCAATGCATATAAGCATTTCAATTTTTTTCAAAACAGTACTCTAGCTTTGTGTAGATATATATCATGCTTTGAAATATGCTTTATCAATGAATTACATTGAAAATTTTCATTGAATGCTATTAAAAATTCTTAAACCTCAGTCAAAGTGAATAACTAGCATTGTTTTAAAATAAAATGGTTAAAAAACTTATAACTTCTAATACTTTAATCATATACAAATATTAACACTTATATGGAACTATATATTTTGAGTTTTCAAAATTAAACTAATTTCAACAAGAAACAATACAAATCAAAATTAATATCTATGTATGTAGAAACACATACAATAAACAAAAATGTACTTTAAAAAGTAACAAAACTATGTTTGAGCATTCAGATTCTAATTTTAACACTATATGAAAACACAAAGTCTGGAAAACAAGTCTTTTCTTATACATGTATACACAGTTGATCCCCCTATAATATGGGTTTCTATATCACGGCGAAAAAATTGTGACAGTATTTGTACAAACATGCTAAAAAAACTCATATCATTCGGTAAAACGTCATCGCCAACTCATGTCACAACAGGATTGGTCAAATTTAGACCAATAGCAGATATTGTACAAATCGTTGAGTTTAAACAAGCAGTGNATGTAGGAACACATACAATAAACAAAAATGTACTTTAAAAAGTAACAAAACAATGTTTGAGCATTCAGATTCTAATTTTAACACTAGAAAACACAAAGTCTGGAAAACAAGTCTTTTCTTATGCATGTATATACAGTTGACCCCCCCTATAACACGGGTTCCTATAGTTTGGATTCCTATATCATGGCAAAAAATTGAGACAGTATTCGTACAAACATGCTAGAAAAAACTCGTATAATTCAGAAAAGCATCATCGCCGACTCATGTCACGACAGGATTGGTCGAATCAAGATCAATAGTGGATATTGTACAAATTGTTGAGTTTAAATGAGCAGCGGACCTACTAAAAACCATTTGTTATTTAATGTCCATAAAAATTATATTTATATTAATGATGTCTCCAAAGTTCAGTATATTTTTTGCAAATAAAAAATAATTTATCAGGAAGCACATGAGCGCCATTCGATGACAAGCTCCATGACGAAAACAAGCTTAAGCAATGGCGTACTCGAATGGTGCACACTTGGTAAGTAATCCTACAATTTTCTGTTTATAGCGTAGTTTATATGGATTATTCCCAAAAAATTATACGTATTTTGGAAATGTTGAGTCGAATTAGTCTAGAATTGATTAATTTTATGGAAGAAACCTTTCAAACAGCTGTAGTCCGTAAATTGCATATGTGCTGGGGCTGTGACTGGCTGGACTTGTAGAAAATGGATTCATAAAAACCAGAACATATCTAACATGTTACAGGGGTTGACTGTATAATCTTTTCTTATATATATATACACACACACACACATATATATATAAATATGTTCTGCTTGTCANGTTTAAACGAGCAGTGGACCTACTAAAAACCATTTATTATTTAATGTCCATAAAAATTATATTTATATTAATGATGTCGCCAAAGTTCAGCAAATTTTTTGCAAAAAATATAATTTATCAGGAAGCATGCGAGTGCCATTCGATGACAAGCTCCACGACGAAAACAAGCTTAAGCAATGGCGTAGTCAAATGATGCACGCTCGGTAAGTAATCCTACAATTTTTTGTTTATAGCATAGTTTATATGGATTATTCCAAAAAAATTATACGTATTAGTCTAGAATCGATTAATTTTATGGAAGAAACCTTTCAAACAGCCGTAGTCTGTAAAATGCATATGTGCTGGGCTGTGATTGGCTGGACTCATAGAAAATGGATTCATAAAAACTGGAAGGTATCTACCGTGTTATGGGGGGGTGGTCGACTGTATAATCTTTTCTTATACACACACATACACATATATAAATATGTTCTGCTTGTCATTCATTAGCTGATTCTGCAGCTAATAAATGACAGGCATCACTTNAGGTATCTACCGTGTTATGGGGGGGTGGTCGACTGTATAATCTTTTCTTATACACACACATACACATATATAAATATGTTCTGCTTGTCATTCATTAGCTGATTCTGCAGCTAATAAATGACAGGCATCACTTTCAATTACAGTAAACATAAATACTTTTAAATTTTGTAGCAAGGAATTTTGTATCTATTTCATAATAATATAACATATTAAATTCTTACCTGCATACATACAGATATCAATCATGGTAAGAGCCATGCTTCGAAATGGTTCTGGTATTACTTGAAAAGTTTCAATCATTGCATCAATTCCTTCTTGTTGTTTACCTTTTCATAAAAAAAAAACTCTTAATGTATATCTACATGCAGATTAGCAATTACTATTAAAGTATAGCTATTTGGTATAAAGTTATTTTGAATTATAGTTGTTACTATTGTAAAAGTTTTTGCACAATTAAACTATACATCATTAAAAATACTGATGTAATAGTTAAAAAAAATCAAATATAATGTATGTCCTAAATGGCAGAACAATTGTGGAATATTAATAAATTATTAAATGTAATTTAAATTAATAAAATAAAATGCCCTTGTAACAGGCAAAAGCCTTCTACACCAATAAAAATTACTTACTTACTTAATTTAAATTAATTATATTTACCTAAGTAACATAGACCAATACCCAAAGGTAAAAATCTAGCAAAAGTATCTTTTAGATCTGCTTCACTTTTCTCTAATAAATTTTCCATAATGATCTCAGAGACATGTGAATTACATGAACCTACAGCAATCATACCACAAGCCAAAGCTGTCATTCCTATCACCTGAAAGAGATTATTATTATTTTTTGAAAGAGAAATTATTATTATTTTTTGTATTATTTTAAAATAATTTAGAAATCAACAATTTATATTTCAAATATTTACCTCCATTGTTGAACGTGAATCACTTAATACAGGAATCAATAACTTCAATACATCAGCTCTATTAGATCCAGCATAAGCAAGTCCCAATCTAAAATGTTAATTTTAAATAAATATTACATATTATATTAAAAAAAATTTCATAAAATAATGAAATTTATATTGTTAATAAATAACTTTCCAATACTGGGATATAATAAACACAAACAAAATTCATTTTGTGATGGATACGAGAAATAATTTTAAACTTTATTTCTAGAACAAATTACATCTAATTTTAAATTGAACTTGTAAAGTGTTCATAAAAGATTGTTTGATTTTAATGTAGCCATCTTGTCTGTGTTATATACATAAAGATGTCTCTTATGAACAAATAAAAATGTTAGTAAAAATATGTTAATTTCTTGTGCACTGGTATAGGTATGTTGTTTGTGGTTAATGTGAGAGGTCAGACTTGGAAAGAGGAAAACCCCACAATTTTATTTGGGAATTTTTCGAAANGTGCTCTCTCCAAGCTAGTTTTAGCAAATCAATCCACTAGCTAAATATTCTCTGAAACCAGTTAAAATTAATTAATTTATTATAAAAGTTTCAAAAGTAAATACTAAGACAAGAATTATGATTTTTATATTTTTTTACAGATAATTAAACTATGGATTAGTATGCTACTATTATAATACCATATGAATATTGTTTTGTCATCATTGATTGACATTCATAAGGAAATCTTCAACAGTAGCCAGCTAACATTGTATATTAACTTCCTAAAAACATAACTGGACAAATATTCATAACTAATAACGAAGTGTCTGGATTTAATGGACACTTTCTGGACAAGAGACAATTATTAAAAACTTGCCATACATTTTGCAATAGTGATGGTTTTTAAATAATCTATACACAAGCTTTTTTGTTAGAAATGTGCAATAAGAACAGTAATCAGAAACAGTCAAAGAATCAGCAAAATTATGGGGATATTTTAAATGATAATTAACATAATTTGGTACTAGAAGTATTAAATTTAATAATAAATTTATTACAAGAAATCTGGAATCAATGCAAGCTTGACTGATGACATTATGAATTATCAAACAATCTATTGGATTTTTTCAGGCTATTTTAAGTGTAATTAATAATATGTGACAAAGTAATTTGGCTAAATGTAAGCAGTCAACTTATGATTAATTTTTTAATATAATTATTAAAGTTATTAATTTTAATTTAATTTAGAATACTCTGGAAGAGTATCAGTTATGCTATCTAGGTTATAAAGAAGATTGTTTGTGCATATTTTCTCAACACATGACTTATTTGATTCAATTTGCTTCCGTTATTCTTTCTTTCTTCAAAATTCTCTAAGTTTCTTAATGTCTCCCTTCCATAATGTAAAGGAGAAATCAATCTACCAGTGCCTGAGTAAAATGTGTCACTCAAGTACTATCTATTTTTTTTTTCCCGAGTACTATCTAAAAATTGAATTGTAAAAATCTTCAAAAGTTTAAGGTTATAAAAAATTCTATAAAATGATGGCACCAAAGATGATATAGTATTTTTAAAATGATATTCAAGTGAAACATATAATCTGGAGTATAGTCTTCTTAACAGGCTTTCAAAAATAGGAAGGGCTAGAAATTTTTGCCCCTTGTCTGCAGAAGACATTATCTTTTTAAAAAATATAATAATAATCCTATTGCTAAGCCAAATCAGTCATTTTGTTTACTAAATACAGGTACTCTGCTAAACTCATGTTTTCATTTTATTTTATAATAAAAAGTTTATTTAAAAGATTTATCTACAAAGGAAATTAAAAATTACCTTAATATAATCTTCAGATGAATATAAATACTTATCAATTTGTGAAAGTCCACTGTCAACATCCCATAAAACAATTAATCCTAAAGAAGCAGTTGCACTCAACATACCTAAATAAATTAAGAATTTATATACATTAAAAATAATTGTTTATGTTAGTAGTAAAAAAAAATGTCTATACAATTATTTTTTTAAAATTGTTTATAACAATTTTTCATAGAGATGCAGAAAGACATTCTAAAATAATAATATATTGAATTTAAAAAGTCTTAATTTTCTAGTTTTCAATAATAAGTAAATACATGTAAAAAATATGTTTTATTACTAATTTTTCAATCATTAATAATGCATTAATAATTGATTCATGATGATTGCAATATGTTAACAGACCCAATATACAATTTATTTGTACGACAGTAAAATTTTCAGAAATATTTAATGAATATAATTAATACACTGTTATTACTAAAAAAAAAATCAAAATCACCTGTTTCAAACTATAAACTAACATTTTAATTTTATTTAGAAATTACATTCAAAAGGGATCATTCCTGAAAAGTTTATGAGCTTGCATGCATACAGTACATTTATCAAAAAATAATTTGTAAAATTTAAAACTTACCATGTTCTTTGTTTTTAAATAACCATTTATTTCCATCTTCCATCAAAAGTTTATCTTGACCAAAAGCTGCATTTACAAATCCATTAACAAAACTTGATGCTAAATTTTGTCGTGCAGAATCAACACTACTTCCTGGTCCAAATGATGGTCCTATATTATATATTTCAAGTAAAGTTTAATATTAAATATTTATCATCACTATAATAATAGTCAAATTTTAAAAAATTTTAATTCTTACTTGTATTATCAAGATGTGTCTTATAAATGTCATCAGGAGTTTTTGGTTCAAGAATATCAAGCTAAAAAATAAAAAATTTTAATTACAAATTTTTATACAGTTATATAAAATTTCTGAAATACCAATAAATAAATTCTGTCATATCTTTTCAATGTCACGTTAAATTATGGAGAATTAGTTTTGTTGTATTTTATTTTATTTAAACATTTTTAAATTTATCAGAAATACTTTAAATAAAATTTTAAACAATAATCTTTATAAATAATTCTGATCACCAATACATTTTTAAACAAATAGAAAATTCTGATTTAAATTAATAAAGTGTGTATAATTACATTAGATATCATTTAATCTATCAGTCCTGACCAAAGAAGCCAAATCATTTCTTGGCCTGACCTCCACAGTAAGATGCATAAAATGTCTTGGTATAGGCAGATATTATATGAAAACTATGCTACAAAGAAAGAAAATTTGACAATGCTGTCTGCAATTAGGAAACCTTTAATCTAATATAAATACTGAAATAATCTTAATTTCACAACACCTCAGCAACTAAAATCAATCTAGACCTTTGCCTTTTTTCATCAAACTTGATCAATTCTTAGAGAGTTACATTTGATTATAAAACCTTGGAAATGTCTTCTCAAACACAATGAAATCAGGGGTAACAGGAGATTCCATTTTCAAAACAATACTAATACTGCATTCAAAACATTTATTCACTCCAATTAACTAAGAAATGTTAAAAATAAATTAGATGAAGTAATTGTTTCAGAAAGCTATCTGCACATGCTAAATTTGTTATGCTTCATGGCAAAAAAAAAAAAAAATCAACAAATGTCTTCACAAAAGGAGAAATATTGATAATAAAATAAACTATTTACAATACTATAATAATATTACATTCAATATGTTTATTTGTTTTGATTGGTTGATTTATTTTTAGTTTGATGTTATTTATGCGGAGATTTTCTACACCTGCTTTATTGAGAAGCCTGAAATTCTCAATAATCCAGAAATATGGCCTAACCAGGCTAAAAGATATACACATTCAAATTAATTAAATAAAGTATATAGTCTAAATTTGATAAATTCAAAAATTACTATCTATTTTGATATAAATTTTAAAAATCAAACTCTCAAATGATAACATTACATTATATGGTAGAAATTTACCTAGGTAGTGTCAATAGCAGCACTTTCGGAATCCCGACGTGTGTTTTGAAAGTCAATCTAGGTGTCGCTGTCTTTAGTTTACAAGTTTTCCANTACCTAGGTAGTGTCAATAGCAGCACTTTCGGAATCCCGACGTGTGTTTTGAAAGTCAATCTAGGTGTCGCTGTCTTTAGTTTACAAGTTTTCCAACATCATTTCCTAACATTTTATAACTGTGTTACAAGTAATTTAAATTTTAGGTTCAAAAAGTTAAATATTGTTGTATGAATCTTTTTTTTTTGTGTGTAATTCACATTTTGTCGTTTATTGTTATAATAGCAGAGCTTAGAAAACATCAACAAATTTTTTGGCAAAAGTGTGCTTCAAGAGATTTTTTTTCATTTTATAATATCAAAATATTCAGAATTTAATTGTGACAAGAGAAATACATCAGTTGGTATGCAACCTGCAGATGCAGTTTGTTCGAAATTTGATGGTCGTCGTAAATTAAATAATCGGAAGGATTGTGATTCTGTTTCTTTTAGATGTCACAAATACAAGATAAACAGTTCATCATTTGAAGTAATTTTTCAACTTAAATTTGGAAAAATTTTGTGGGGAACTACTTTATTGTTTATTTGGCATCTAATCTGCATAGAATGCACATTGAGCGTCAGCTGTTTGGTTGTGAGTGTGAGTAGTCGAACAGCTGTTGAATGGGCGAATTTCATACCACACATTATGATTGTTTCATCATCTACTGGAATGAAAATTGGATGGACCTGGAAAGGTTGTTGAAATCGACAAGATTGTTGTGAGCAAAATGAAAAGAACTAGGAGAAAGGTTAGACCTGTTTGTTCAGCATATGATTAAGTAAGTGCCAATAAATCTGAAAGTCATAACAGGAAGAATGTAGACGTGTGTTAACCCCTTAACGACTATTTTAATAAAAAAAGGTCTTTTTTGAATGCCTGTTCATTGTTATTACATAAAAAAATTCTTCATTTCAATTGAAAAAAGTGGTTTTTTTCGATTTTTCAAATTTCGCAAAAATTGGTTCCTTAAGAATGCAGAAAAAGTTTCTACAATGGAAAAGGATAAAGTTACGATAGAATCATCTGAACCATGTTTTTTCTGAATAAATCGGAGAAAAGGAATTAGAAGTATGTCAATGGTGAATGAAAGATTATTTCTTTAAATGCTGGTTTAGTAAGTAGCTGCACTGGTCACCATCTTGTTTGTGGATGTCGTGTTCACAAACAAGATGGTAACCGGAAGTGCCACCATTGGGACTACCTAGGTAAACTTCTACCCATATTTGTTCTTTCAATAATAAACATGCAAACTTCTATTTTTTACTATTTCCTTCTATTAAACTTTTATATCTACCAAACACTTCAAATTTGAATTTTAAACAAATTTATTCTTCTTATGAATTCAGGTACCGAGTGTAGTAATCAAAAAATTAATTCAATCTATGCATCAACCATATTTTATTTTACACAGATAAAATTTAATAAGATTCCAGATGACCATATATTTAATATCTGCATTATCTGGACATTCATCTTATCTTTGATTATTATAGTTAAACTTTCATTAATGCTACACAGTAAGTCCATAAAAATTTTATATATGAAAATATTAATACATATAATAATTTAACAATTGTATACAAAATTTATAAAAAAAAATACACATATTCAAATTTTATTAAAATCCCTATCATTATTCACAATTTAGGTGAAAAGCTGTTAACTAAATTACATTGTCAAATGGTAAAATGGAAAAAATATTTGCCAAGTGACTACTCAAACATCAAGGAAACATTTCAAAAATCNCTTTTTTTATTGTTTTTTAATCGGAGTCAGATTCAGGAGAGGCTACCGGAACTTGCAGGGTCAACTTCTCTTGTTCCATCCTTTGTTTTTTGCCCGCTGGCTTCTTGAAAAACATGACCAAGGTGGTCTGTTTCTCTTTCTTCTTTAACACCTGTCGGAAATGACGGACAAAGGTGTCATCGTAGAGATCATTGATCCTGTTGGCCTCAGCTCTGTTTGGATAATGAGTGTTGGTAAACTCCTGAACCTCTCCCCATTCGACAAGAAAGTTTTTGTCAACTTTCACTCCTGATGATTTCTTGCTTTGTTTCAATTGAAATCACCTTTCTTTTTTTTTTTAGAAGCCATGATGCATTATAAATGACTTAACTTGCCAGATTATATGATACAAATAATTCTTTATTAATTAAGACCACTAAACACTTCTACGAGCTACTCTCGCTCCGTTTGTTTTTTACATCCTCTTTTCGTCCTGTCACCTCGGCATCTACACAATTACATTTCGTTTATTTGAATCGTCAACATATATTACATTACATTTAATGTTTATTTAAATCATCAACATATATTAGTCTACATTACATTTCTACTTCAGATATACTAATAATACATTCTAATAATATTAATATATCCTAAAAATAGCAGATTGTCATTGGCAACGGCAAAAGAGTGGAAACATCATTCGCACTTGTTCAAAAAAAGTCCATTGTTCGTCTCACGTAACTGCCGAACGGAAAGTCCGTTGTTCGCAGCAAGTCCGTTGCTCGAGTCACGTAACGGTCAAACAGAAAGTCCGTTATTCGAGACGTACGTTATACGAGGCACCACTGTATTTAATATCTGCATTATCTGGACATTCATCTTATCTCTAATAATTATAGTTAAACTTTCATTAATGCTACACAGTAAGTCCATAAAAATTTTATATATGAAAATATTAATACATAATAATTTAACAATTGTAAACAAAATTTATAAAAAAAAAATACACATTCAAATTTTATTAAAATTCCTATCATTAAAAATAAACTGTTAACCAAATTAAATTACATTGTCAAATGGTAAAATGGAAAAAACATTTGCCAAGTGACTACTCAAACATCAAGGAAACAATTCAAAAATCTAATAGCTAAACTAACTCAACTGAGCAATTGCTAATACTTTTTATGTTTAGCAGCACTGAAAGATACAGTACTAAGAGCAACACCAGAAATATCTAATACTATAACACCAATTAATTTAGATTTTGATAATAAGTTACAAAAATATGATAAACATTCAAATTAAAGAAAGGTCCTTTAACTGCATTTACATCTATTTTATATCTGTTATTTTATGCTCATAATTGACTTTTATAATGTAAAAGTAAAAATTTTACAATCATCAAATCATTTAATTAAGTAATGTTTATCCAAATCTATTTAATTTAAACTCACTTCTCTTCCCAGTGTCAGGAAATGGGCATTCAAATGTGTGTTAGATAGAATTTCACTGAGTTCTTCCTGTTCATCAGTATCATCATTCAAAACAAAATGTATCTGTTGCCGACTCATCATAAAGGACATTTGTTTTCGAACAGATCTGTAACATCATAACACACACATTTAATATGTTTTAATTTCTTATACTTCTCTGACAATTTTTACTTAATTTTTGAACATTATAAATAAAATATTATCCTTGTATATTTAGTTTTCANGCCCCTTGTGCGAACAATAAAGGCAAAGGAACCATACCCCTACTCGCGACCCTTTGCGAGATATAAGCCCCTGAAATAATAAATTCATATTACAAATATACTGAATTATTTATATTGTTATATTGACCAAATAATAATTTATTGCCAAATGAATAATAATAATTCATATTGTTAATTTATATAAGAATTAAAATTGTTAATTTGAATGTTTGAAATATGACACACGATAGGGGCGCCTCTAGTGTCGGTTGTCAAACGGTTACGGGACGGACGGACGGAAGGAAGGAAGGACGGACACCTGTTGAATGGGTTATATATATAGATACCTCGACTTACGCGATTTTCAAATCTCATCAATTCGTTTT